TGATGTGGCATATATGAGTTGTAGTTGTAGTCGCATACATTGGCCATTGATTCAAAATTGTCTTTGGTTATACCGTGTAGCCGTATAAAATTCAATTCATTTTATTTATCTTAGCAAGAGCAGGCGACGACGATGTCATTGAAGCGATTTTCGCTTATGCAAAGTACGAAATCCATTTTGATTTCTTTACTTTAATAATAATGACACGATGATGATGATGATGATGGGAGCATCTTCTTGTGGCGCGTATGCCATGCTATGCTTATCGGAATGTCGTTCAATTAATATGTTCAGTGAATTCTGCGATATTTATTGATATTTATCCGCCATTGTGTCACAATTGATTTTGGCTGCAGTTCTTGCCAAGGCTGTAATCACACTAGAGATTTGCTTGAACGCAAAAAACTCTGCGAGAAGTGAGCGTTGCATTTACTAGCTGCATCGATACTGTAAACACACACCAAAATATTTGTAATCATAAAATTCAAGCTTACACCCGCGGTGTGATCCCGTGCGCAATGCGCACACTGTACCACAGGAATATGAGGGGGGGGAATAAGAACGAAGAGCAAAACTGTCGAGTGTAGGGAGTTTTGCGCTGTGATTCGAGTGGCATTTCAGGTGCATGTGGAAAAGCAACGGATTTTAATAATAATTTCAAAATTATATGTGGCGATGGTGGTGAGCATTTTTATTAACCATTTCGTTCCCGTTCTCGATTCTGAGTTGTGGTAATGCCAACCGTACGACAAGCTTTATATCCGTAATTGACTTGATTTTGCACATTTCGTAGCCTTTTCCTCTCCACCTCATCATGGTTTGGTTGGTTGGTTCGAATGGTTTGGATGGTTGGTCGGTGGGTCATTACTTGGAACGAATAACTTTTTCGAATAATTTTTAGTTTGTTAAGCGAGAAACACTCGAAGAACAAGTACAAACCCGAATTTCGACAAAATGAAATTTTACACCCATTTTCAGGCTTTAATGTTTACCACTTTGTCTATTGCCACTTTATGTACCTCTCAACTCACTTCATCGTTGTTGACAGAGGTAAATTTCAGCGCGCACGATGGAAAAAAAAACTGGTATATGATTGCATATCTTGTTTTTTATCGCTGTTACTGCTGCTACTGCTGGTGGTGTTCACCCGCAAAGTTCCCAGGCACAAAATGGAGGGGAAAAAAACTTTGAAGTGCATTGAAATTATAATGTTGGATTCCAACTGGGAATCCATTAAAATATGTATTTTTTAAGCATTTCGAACTTTGTATGAAAAATGAATGTCGACATCATGCTCTAGAACAATGCGTGCTAAATTCCTGTTGCAATAAATGTTAGAGTGAACTTGTGTTTATTTTTCGATTAAAACTTTAAAATGATGTAATCACATGGCAGAAAATTCATTTATTCAAGCTCACATTCACAGTGCGCTGTTGCATTTTTTCCCCTCTCTCTCACTCTCTCTCTCTCTCTCTCTCTCTCCCTCCTTCCGCTACTTGTAATTTTTTTTCATTCTCAAAATGAGATTGGCCAACTCGGGAAATGCATGAATAAAATGGTTGATTTATGAAGTGCCTTGTCGTTTGATGTTTAGCGACGGAGCTGTAAATTGTCGGTGAATAAAAGGTAATAATAATCGATTTATGAATGACATGCGGCAATTCAATGACAAAATCGATAGACCCATTCGAGTCAAATATTAGTCGCATACGCTTACAAGCACTGAACTTTTGATAGGAAAGAACATAAAGTTTGAACGTCGATTACTTCTCAATTATCATTAACAAGCACTATTTACTATCCGATGGCATTATTCTGGCGCTATCGCGCTTTCTCGCTCTCACGCCCCGCGTCGTTATTTCTCTCCTCGTTCACTATTTTTATTTTTCGCTTCTCATTCACGGAACGACATCAATAGTCGCTCAACCCCACAAATTCCATTCTAAAGTTGGTTTACATATTAATGGAAGATAATTGAAGAATGAGCGCGATTTGAATGACGCAAAATCATTCGTTTTGCATTTTGCACGTCTTTCGAAATAAGTTTTGAAATGTGTGTATGCGTACGTGCGATAGCTTTTCATTAAAATATGATTTCATATACATATGACATTTTTCAACTCATAATTCTAATCGAAGCAAAACACAGCAAATAAAGACTCAACGGCAACGGTATTAATAACCAAAAACTTTTTCGAGTCGTAGTTAATTTATAAAACTTCCTCATTTGCATATAATCATAAAATCAATACCACCAAAAATAGATAATTGCTCGTGCGAGCACCAATCCTTCGGTAGCATCGCGAGAGCGAGAGTGGGAGATGGGGAGGTGATAGAGGAGGTGAGAGAGATAAATGGAAACTTGACAGACTGTTTCATATTTTGCGAACATATAATTTGTTTCAATTAATTTGGCGTTTTGCGCCTTTTCTCCAACCGCCATCAAGTGAAATTAAATCAAAAGCAAATTCAAGTGCTACGATTTAATTGGAGATACTGGATGATGATGATGGGAGATTCTATAGCGAGAGAGAGAGTGCACTACGTTGTTCAACAAATCTATTGTGTATTTCATTAGTTAGCTTTATGTGCGCATAGCCGAAAAGTTTGACAAATCCACTGGATTTCCTAATTAAATGGCAAAGCATTTTGAGATATGATCTATGCTGAAATAGTTGAATTCAACGAACAAACAAGCATTCACCCCCGTAGAAAAATAAAGCAACAAAATTGGTTGGTAATTGTTTACTGTAATGTATATTACAGTCCATGTGCAATGCAATGCAATGCACTTGTACACAGACGTAGGGCCAATGCAAAAATGCAGCTATACTCGAACACACGCACACCACTTTAAACAATCAATCGGGGATTCTGTGGCGATACGTTCGAAGGGTGCAAGCTTAACCTCTTCCTCTCCTCCTCAATCACTGACAAAATGAATTATATGGAATGCGTTTGTGTATCTGTATATCTGTATATACAAATGGATCTGTATATAGCTGCAAACTCCCTTGTCTACGTGTAGATTTTCATGCAAATTTCATGCAACGGAATGCACATTGTACAAAATACAATTAAGTTTTTGGAAAAGCTTATATCGATTTACATTTTGCCAGCGGTTAAATGTTTACGTGTGCTTTTGACTATGTAAATATTGGAATATGCTGGTGAATGGCGCTGTTGAGAGCGCTAATGAAAACCATTTTCAAAACGTATTTCTGTTTTTCGGGTTGTTATGCATCAACAACACACACTATTAATATTGTGTTGTTTTTACATAAAATATGTGCTCGCATATTCCAATGCACTCATTTATTTACTTTGTCATGTATTTAACCCGAGTTCGCTTTGTTGGTATGGCTTGGTTTGGTTTGGTTTGGTTTGACTTGGTTTGGCTGGTTGGTTGGTTGGCTGGCTGGTGCCTGATTCCGGTGAATCGCTTGTCATATTCTCCGTTCGAAATCGGATAAGATGATTTAAATAACAAATGAACTGCTCATATAAAATCAAAATTACTTGTACGAAATGTCGTCCATCCCTCATCCCTTCGTCCTTGTTCGCTCATCATTTTGCTGCTCGTTCCCTCTTCGTCAATGACCGCATTTTCAGAGATGCAGATTGCGATGGGAGAGAAAGCGCATGCAGAATACTACAAGAACTAGCCACAAGCTGAGAATCAACTTGGGAAAAATTCAATTAAATTTCAGTCTCGTGAGAATCGCGTCACTAATTTTGTAATGAACTTTGGCAGCATTGCATTTTCTTCATCAATGTCACAACAACGATGTGAACATTTGAGTGATTAGTGCTCATGGCTCTGTCTGTGACCCGTGCTGAGTGCGATTGCGATTTGCGAATAAATGGCATATGAATGCATCTCAAAACTCAATAATTTCTCTCGCGCATTATCATCAGCATCAGCATCAGCATCAACAACAACATCATCACCACTTGGATCAATGGGAATGACAAAATTTCTTTCACTTTTCACTCAGTCAATGAAGACGAATTGAACGAGAATTGGGCGCTCAATTCAAATCCGTTTCTATGTACCGTGTACCCGGCCGGGTCCGTGCATACAAAACACAAGCGATTTTCTCTGCATTTAACTATAAGCTAATCTCTTCACTTCGAGTGCACTTGTTTTCAGCTTTATCACATTGTTCAGTTTATCTGTTTACGATATCGTCAAAATATTAGCCACAGCATATCTGAATCTAGTTGAATGTAGGGCGTGTGTGTGCGAATGTGAATATGTGCTCATGTGGAAGTGTGTTTTGTTTCACCGATTTTGAGATTGATTTGCATTCGTCTCGGCAACCGAGCACGTTCTATTTTCTATCCATCATTTGTTTATCATCACTTATGCGAAATACGATTTTCAATTAGCTCGAGCGCACTCTGCATGTACATCAACGTTGGCCATATTTGCCTTGAATGTGCATCCTGTCAGCAACTTGACGATCGCAAACAAATTGCTTGACGCAATCGTTCGTTACAATTTAGTCGTCACTCTCTCTCCTTCCCTCGCTGTTATTCAAATGAATTGAAATAAACGCCGAACCTATCCAAACCAAGCCACACCATGCCGATCCGAACCGAAACGAACCGATTTTATTCATTCAGATGCAAAAATATGCAACACACTGATCATTGTCGTCGTGCAGTAATTCGTTTCCATATTGTGTCATTTGCAAATCGATGTGCAAATTGCAGTAGGTAGCATGTGGGCATGTGGGTACTGCATACCAAAAATATATACAGCGGATAATTTGCTGAAAACTTCACGAAATGGAATTTACCTTAATTGTTTAAATTATGCCAGAACTTTTATTTTGTCTCGCTTTTCAAGCAGCCGCTACTTTTGTTTCACACGAAACCCAATATTAACCGAATTTATATATTTATTTTTTCTTCTTTGTTTCTTCTCTTTATTCTCTCTACATTATGTGCGGCTACTTTTTTCCGCTTCGTCCAACTTTCGTCAAACAATTTAGAACGATACAATGCGTGTCGTGTACATGTATTATGAATCGGATCCATTGCACGGTAGTGTGGTGCCAGGTAGTTTGCCAAATACACAGAAGGCATTCAAAGGATACAAACCGTTATCAATAACACAGCGTCAACCGCAAGATGAAACAATGTCAACCGTAGCTTTGGGCTCGTTATTAGCATCATCATCATCATCATCGTCGTCATCGTCGTCGTCTTCGTCCTCACCGTCAGCCACATCCGCACAATTAACGGTATTGCCATCACAATCGGCCACCAGCAAATTACATGTATTCGAATTGCTTAATGAAGACGTTAAATTACCGGCTATGGAGACGCTGTATTGGTGCAAAGTTTTCGAATTTCACGAATCCAGTCAAAAACAACACTTAGTTAAGGTAAGTTATTTCCTTTTTAAGTTTTTAACACGCCTCGTATTTTGTTTGATTCGTCCCCTTTCATTTCGGCTCGTCCATCCATCCTTTCATGCATTCATTCACTCGTTCGTTCGTTCTTCGTTCGAACGAAGTTTGACTTTGTTTTCAAGTACAAAGTAGGAAGCTAACAAAAGTTGGCCCGTTTACGTATATTCTTTTTTGCCATTCACTCATTGTCATTGTGTTCACTTTCCGTTTCCATTTTGTGTGTTTGAATTCACACACAGAGAGAGCGACACATACACACACATATTGTATACACTTACACACCACGATCACATGGAAAATATTTGATTTCTCGATAGATTTTTTATCCGTCGTCTCTCACGCAACTTTTGTTGTGCGGTGTGTGTGTATGTGTGTGTTTTTGTGCATTATTCATGCTAATACCCTGGACGAAATGAAGAAGAAAAAAAATTTGCATTTTGATATTTATAGCAAATGCTTCTTGATGATGAAAACGATGGACGCTCCAGTCTATCCGCGCGTGCACTTAAGTAAGTCCTTAGTCTCGAGAGTGCATCACATCTCCTACGTTTCATTGTCAACGAAAGGGAAAAAAATATTGTAAAAAAAGAGAGAAAAAAAGAAATTCGATCGAAAGCCGATTTCAACATTGTCCCATGTTGAAAACTTTGCTCGAAGGCAACATCGCAATCTCATCTCCTTTGTAAGCTTTTAATTAAACTAATGAAAGAAAATTGTCAACTCAAATTAAAAGAAAAACGAAAGGACGATGAAAAACACCACACATACAGAGACACACACAGAGACAGACACACAGACAAAACAAGGCAAAATACGAAGAACGCAAAGCGGTAAGAAGAACGGAATAAAGCTACTTACAAATCTTTTCGTAGCCAACTTAAAGTTTTGTTAAGATTTCCTAATGTCTTGTTTAAATGCATTAAACTCCCCCGTTCTGAGTTTCCTTAAGAACATGATGGAGAAAGGGATAGAATCGCAGTATGTGTGGCTATACGTGTATGTTTGTGTGTGTGTGTGTGTTAATGTTGATAAGTTTTTGTGTAAAAATTTCTCTCCACCAAAGAGAAACAGCGTTATCTCTGCTTTCCGAAGTACTTATAAAATAGAAAAGAAACGTAAAACTGGCAAACAAATAAGCAGAAGAAAAAAACGTAAACTAACATAATTTTCATTTTATTATGTAGCTTTGTGTTTGGTCTCTCACTCTCACGTTAACAAATTTGTTTTTTTCTCTCTTGCATTCTTTTCATGATATTTTCGTGTTGTCTTTCCATCTGCTGGTGCCATTCGCTTCGTATGCTGCTAACCGGAATATGTACTTTGACGTTTGTTGGCTAACTTTTTTTCATTGTGTATTCACAAATCTGATGTCTCGTAATGATGCCTATCCGAACGAAAACCATTGTTATCGGTGGCGAATGTCCAACGCGGGGTATCGCTTCGGCTGCATCTTTACCGTTTTGCTGCATTTGCTTATAATGTTATTGCTCAACAAACCCAATAACATTGTCACTATCGTTCCAACTACTCGATATTACTATGCGTACTTGTGCTCGCGCTCTGTATTGTGACGCCGCCTCCACACCACTGCCACTGCCATCGTCAATGTCACTTACCATATTTTTTGTTTACCATCCAGTTTGAGCCAGTGTTCGACTCAAAACGAAGTAAAAACATACTGCAACATATAATTCTGTACGAATGCCAAGGATCTTCGGATAAATTGGCGGCAATGTCACGTGAACCAGGACGCTCTTGCTATGGCCGTCCAAGTTTGCCATGCAATGCAATTGTCGCTACGTGGATAAGAGGCTCAGAGGTAAGTGCATTTATCACACTCATTCTTTCTCCAATGATTTATGGAACTGCTTTAATCGGAAATACACTGTGGAAGGGTAGTAGTGCAAAACGGTAAAGAAAAAAAAATAGTGCATACCCACTACCAGTATTAAGTTTATTTAATAAGTTTTTCATATATTCAAGCTATAATAACTACACGTGCGCTTATCTTGATTACAAAATATGAAAAATTTATCGAAACTTACAACGACACTACTACTACCACCACCACCACCACCACCACCACCACCATCAACAACAACAACATACTTATTAATGATACGATATTCAATTGAACACGCAGAGTTTCACATTTCCATCCGACGTTGGTTATGCGCTCGATTCGCGATACTATTTAATGGAAACGCACTACAGTGACATGGAGCCACCGAAGGATTTAGAAAGTTTGCACGCAACACCCGCAGCCGATAACTCCGGCCTGAAACTTTACTACACATCCGCATTACGCAAACATGATGCTGGCGTATTATCAATCGGTAAGTTATCAACCAAAATGCATTGAACAGCAAGAAAAACATCACTTCATATTATTGTTGTTGCTTTTTTACATTCTATTTTCACACTCAATATTATAGCGACATCTATTATTAAAATAGCTTGTAGTAAACGCATTCATAGCATTTCACTGTAGTTGCGATGTTACCAATTAAATTCCCCTGTGGTATGTAGTTAACAAGTGTCAAACATGAATGTGTCAGTACTACAAGGGAACTTAATAGGAAACATCGCAACTACAGGGAAATGCTATAAATGCATTTACTACAAGCTATTTTAATAATAGATGTCGCTATAATATTGAGTGTGTTCTTCTATTTTTTTCCTCTCTTTTGAGTCTCTTTCCTCTCTATCTCATCGTGATGTTAATTATTACTTTTCCGCAAACTTTGTTTGTTAGGTAAAGTATTGGTTTTACTAGCCAAAATTTCATGACATCTCCTCTTTCGGACCACTATAACGTCGCGCCAAACTTCAAAAAGCACATATTTGTACACTAGGCAATGTAGATGGGATCAAATCCTATCGATCGAGATCTATTTGCCCCCAAAAACATGTTGTTTACTATGAAAAATGTGTACAATTGCGATGTGCGTATGGCGTCATTCGCGTTCTCGTTCGCGTTCGCGCCCGCGTTTTTTGTTCGCCGGATATCTCAAAAAGTTGACAAGATAATTGAGATCTGTAAAAGCCAAAAGTTTTGGCGTGTTGAGGCAAAGCCTCGGATTGATTTTGAGTCCATTCTGATTTACCAATTTCGTACCATAAGCCTCCGACTGATGACCTGAAAACGCTTGTAAAATGACAATTTTGTATGAAAAATCGCCCAAAAAGCAATTTTTCAGGGTTTTGGTCAAGGCAAACTGATGTTTTTTTGCAAAAATAATGGAAACAACCAAGCACCTTCGAACAACCAAGCACCTACTTGCCCATAAATTTGGTTCAAAACCGACATTTCTTGAAATTTTTGAAATTCTGTTCGAAAATGACATTTTTATATCGAAAATGGTCAAAATAGTTATTTTTTAAGCTCAGAAGTGCTATGAAAAGAGTTTTCATTGAAATTTTGGTTAAATACTAAGCGGGAGTAAACCAAATTGCCGCGGAGCGGAAAAGTTTGGATTACGTATGTTATTCGTTTTATTATGTTTATATTTAGTTTGCTTTGGCTCTATCCACAAAACTTTTCTAATTCCCCTGATCGAGCTCGCTGTGTTTGTTGTTATTATTTACTGATTTTAAAATATTCATCGTCATCAATTATGAAGTTTCGTACATCGATTATTCCATATATTCGTGTTTGTGTGTATAGTTTGAATTTATGACATTTTCAACCAAAATAAAATTAAAAAAATGGAAAAAAACAATTTCCCGATGAATAAATTCATAGTTTGAAAATTCGGAAAATATATATATTTGTGTAGCAGCAGCAACAAAATGCTCAAATTTGATTGTTTTGTGCACTGGATGGAACGTAAATGGCCGCAATCGTTTATGCATGAGATTTTGAGTGGGATTTTCATTCTAAATAATCATGGAAACCAAGTTAAAATTTAATCAGGCTAAGCGCTTCAATTGATCATCTCCATCCACAATTCCACTTGATGTGGATACAATGTTTGATGAGCGACTAAATGTATTTCAATTGAATAATACAAATCGATTTTGGTTGTAATACTTTTATTTGCTTCGTTTTTTCTAACAAATTTTCCTTATCGAGCATTCATATGAATAATTGACTAACACTTGACATTTTATTTTGACATTAAATTATGAATTTTTTATCACTCAACATTCACATGGATTTTCTTATGAATTTTATTGCACGGTTATTGAAAAATGGCGCGCACTTACACAGAAGAGGCGAAGGAAAAAAAAATTGAATAATGATCCGACATTATTTAATGCTTTTGTCAATAAAGCTTATTTTGGTGGCCGTTGTAGACCCCAAATGTGTTCAGTACATATTGGCTCTGTGCGTGGCACAATAACAATAATAATAATGATAATAATAAGGAGAAGAAGCCATTGTATCGATTTCATCGGAGAGCTTTCGATTCATTATAATCTCTCAATGGTTGGATTTGAAAATGCCCAGCCATACTTTGGATGCCTTTCGCATATATTTTTTTTTCTATTTCGGCTGTGAATATTCTGCTTTAGTGTGTTTTTTTTCTCGTCTTCTTGTCGATCAGTTTCACTGGTAATGCCGCTGCTGATGCTTTTGTTGGTGAAAAATGCATCTACCAACCGCACCATCACGATCAGCCATACGATATGTATACTGTGCACGAGAATATAGTTAAACAACGACAATTCACAAATGGGACCAACAAATTCTGTAAAAGTATAAAACTTAAATTGGCTTTATATCGATTTCAATTCCCCGATGCTCTTCACATTCTCGTCTACATGTCAATATCAATGTCGATGTTTTTCGTCTCGTTCGATCTATCCATTGATAGTCTCTCCAGTGCTTTTGAGCTACGCCAAACCCTCTAAATATAAGCCTGCTTTAGGTATATTAATTCCATTTCGTTTTTTTTCGATATTTTTTTGGCTCGATTTTTTCTTCTCCCTTGGTATGTGTATATGCCGATGCTTTGTTTGCTTCATTATCCATAGTCCTGCACATGCATCTCCGTTATTTTGTACACTTTAGATTCACTTGCAACATCGAAATTGGAAAATTTGATTGCGAAATATTTATCTTCTTGTATGTCCATGTCCCACGGTTCTTCGGAGTCTGTATACGGATTTAAACATCTTTTTTTTTCATTCACTCGCTCACTCACTCATTCTATCTCTCCCTCTTTCTGTCTTTCTATCTGTCTTTCTATCTGTCTCTCTATCTCTCTCTCTCTCTCTCTCTATTTTCGTCCCTATCCTTAATGTGGTGTTGTTGCTTCCAAATCTTTTCGATTTGAACGTTATCGAATCTAAGCGCTCAACATCATCTCCTTGGCCCGCCAAGCAATCGATGCCCAACGAATAAGTAAGAGTAGAAATGAAAGTGGCATAGAGAAATTTATTCGATAAGCTCCGCTCACGACAAACTATAAATTCAGATATGTACGTACATGATGGCTTCCTTATCAAAGCCATACTTGAGCTTCAAAATGTTTTTACACACAAACACACACAACGATACGACTCGATACGTAAACCAATTCTGAAATATTTAGATAAAATTGCACGTGTTTCGAAGCATTTAAGGTCGAATTAGAAAATCAAACTATGCCGAAGCTTTTCATTCTTTGTAATCAAGGAAATTTAGTCGTCAACAACTTTTTTTTCGCTCCGTTTCTTTGCCAATTCGAAGCGGCACACACATTTAAATTCAGAATAATTGCTGGCACAAGTATGAAAAAGAAGAAATATCGTATGTGTTTTCCCCCATCGAGGCATAATATATATATATTATGGAATGAAAATAAAAAAGCAACCGGAAGGAATGTAAAAGTTCCGAAAATAAAAGACAACAAGAAGATTGCAACCGAAAACAAACAAACACTCGCATACACACACGGAGAGGGACTCATACGAAAATATAATGGAATCATATTAACAAGTAAATAATATCACACAACGCCATAAAATGACACCACAAGTTTAAGGATAGAAATGGGACTAAACAAATTGACGTAGTAAAGTGAAATGTCTAAATGGTTATCGTAAAATGTCAGACCAGAGGAAAATTCTTCGACGCATCAAGCAAAATGCTGTACATGATCAAAGAGCTGGCGATAAATGAATAAGCAAAACAATCCAATTGAGATTAAATTCGTTTTCTTGTTTCCGAAGTTGTGTGTTGTCGGTCGTTTGGTCGGTCGGTTGGTGTGAAGCAATGACGGCAGAAGCAATGGCAATGGCAACGGACACGATTGGCTTCTCCGCTGTTCAAGCTACCACGAACCGAGCTGTTAAATTCAATTTCCGATTCTATTTGATTCCTTTTGCACGAAACCTTTTTCGTGGTCAGTTTCGCCTATATAGCCATTAGAATGAAAATAATACCGAAAATAGATCCTCCGAGAGATCTATAGAGACCGTGAAATTTTAGCATCTATTATTGTTTGTGACTTTGGCTAGTAGTACTGCGGTTTACAAGAAATAGAATGACTTGAACTTTTTTTTATTTTTATCCTGTTTTTTCTTTTGGTGTTGTGTTATCTCGATTCTAATGGAACAATTTTTACTTTTCTTTCCTTTCCTTTCTTTTCATGTACTTGCCGCGCTCTCTGAACAACAATCATGTATTCGATGGATGACTCTTCTGCGGGATTTTCAATGCCATGATGAATGCGGTTGCTTTCCGAACATGAAATTGAACAACAATCATATTTGCAAATAACAACAACAACAACAACAACAACAACAACGGAAATAAAATGGGGAAAAAACCAACCCTTGGAACACATTGGCGAAAAATACAAAAGGGATTGACCCCAGTTGGCGCCATATTATTCCACCGCTTCAGCAGAAAGTAATATCAGAAGGACATTGTACTGACGATTGTACAAAGAAAAGCTTTCCGCCGCAGGGTATATCAATATTTGCTGTGATAATGCAAACCCACAATATTGGAAAAGAAGTGAAATTGCGACAGGTACGTATATACAGACACCAACAACAGTAGTAGTAGTATTAGTAGTAGTAGTGGCATTCATATTGGTTATTTCGTGGAACGCTTACACTTTTCTCTTTGTTGGGATTTCGATGTTATTTGCCGATTCTTTTTCTCTGATTGCTCTTTAATAAAATTTGGCGAGCGCCGAAACTGAATTGGAATTGTTCGCGCATTTTCCGCCCGGCCACGGCTTTTGGTAATCGCAAACGTTTCTCGGCGATCAAATCAATGAGTCGAATGTTTTGCACATCGTCGTACAATGCACATCACACACGCACACAACACAAGATCGATTCACTGGGGATACTTTTTAAATTTCATTGCTTGTCTTTATGTTCTACTATTCGTTTTATTTTGGTTATTTTATTTTCCATCGGCTGCAGTATCAATATGCAAGCTAAACGCGAAGTGAATAGTAAACAGAGAGCATCTATATATGCTTTGATGTTTGTAGGAGGAATACCGGTCTGGTTACTCGTTGTGTGTGTGTGTGTGTGTATGTGTTACGTTCAAATGTTTCAATGGAAATCACATTTTTGTGTTTCGACGGTTTTCTGGTGTATCGTGTGCCGTACCAAATTCTCTTCGCTTTTTGTTCGCCTCATTGCATCCACAATTGGCTGGCTGGTTTCTTGTTTATGTTCAAATGGGTTGCCTTTGTGCGCGCTCCGTTAGCTAGCAGCTGAATTCAACCGACAATTCGAGAGGGTCAATTAAATACCAAAATATTTAATAAAAGCTGGAACAGTTGAACAGTTCAATAAGTCCCAGTGTTGTTTTGTGATGTCGATTTGTTTCGTCTCAACTAGTAGACATATTGGAATGGCCAAAGGGAATAAATAAGCGCAATTGCATGCATCGCATTCAAACTTATTGAGCAGTAATAGCTACAGGGCATTATCGTATTGATATGACGGCTTGTGATACCATTGAAAATTAGTTAAGGGACAAACTATGGGTATAGCAAACATTGAATGTGCTAAAACAAATGCTTGTAACATTCAAGACAAGTCACAATTTCACAAAGATGCCTATAGCTGCGATATGAATTAAGGTGAAACGTTAACTATACCGTCGGATCTTTAGTGCTTGCAGCCTTATATTATTATTGGCTTTCATTTTCGGTTTCATACCACAACCAGGCACTAAACGTGAATTCAGTGCCGCTTCCAAACCATCCCTTGAATATATTTAAGACAAACATTTGACCAAAAATGCAATTCAAAATTTCGTCACCAAATTAACAATGAATGTTTGTTGTGGAAGGAAAAAAGCGATTCTTCGCTTGAAATTTTTTAATAAAAAATGAATATTGCATACTTGCATCGCATTATATTACTTTGGGCTTGGCTTTTAAATTCAGTCAACACAATAGCTTGAGACGCTCTTTGTTAGATCCCGTTGCTTTCTTGTAATTACATACATTCGCAAATCTTCGGCAACATTTCATAGATGTGCCCAATTATTCCGACGGGTGCGCTTCAGACCGCAGATTCATTCAATTTTTTTTTGATTTTATTTTTATTTAACTTTAAGATTGTTCCTTCTATATGTCTCTGAGGATGTAGAGGAGCCTTATGTAATTCTTTGATGTGGTCTTTTTGCGATTTACTTCTTTCTCCCTTTTCTGAATTGGCTTTCTGCGATTCATTGCCGGGGCTACAAGTGAAATAGTGCTGCGGCCGTTCGTAATCATTTCAAGATGAACCACATGACGCTTCAATTAATCTGAAGAAGCGAGCAAAAGTACAAATCTAGTAACTTGAACAAGTCACGAGAAGTCGATGAGCAATGAGCATTGACTGCGGTAGCGGCGACAGTAGCAGGCAGCAACAGCAGTAAAAAGCCCATACCGTTTGTGCGTATGGTAGGAACGACCGGGAGAAATACTACAAAGCTAAATCCGAAATTATCAAACAACTCTTCGGCTTCCTCCCCGTTGTGTAATCAATTTTTTAACGATTTTTACTTAATGTTAATCTTCTGCTGAGCTGAATGAGTGTATTGCTTTTTGTACACACAAATCGTTCAACAATGACGACGACGACGACGACGACGACGACGACGACGACGACGACGACGACGTAGACGCATGGATGGAGCCGAGAATATATCTATGTTTGCAGTGATATTCATGTCCTGAATCATGGATTTCCAAAAGACCAACTTGTGTTCGACATTTCCCAACAATTTAATGAAATTTTTCGTACATCGACGAACACTTTTGTGGGCGATTGTAATTGTTTTGGTCGATTCTTCCTTCGCTTCGATGTTTGGGTCAAAGATTACCGGTTTTAAAGAGTGAGCTTTCGATAAAGACCAACTTTCTGATGCTGTTACTGCTGAATTTCCCTTATTATTGGAATTGTTTGGTGCTTTATCTTTATTTTCATTTAGGCGAAATTCAATCGTTCGATCGATACGATTAACTATTGTTCTTCTTTCCTCATTCTTATTTCATTTTTCTTTTCTTTTCTTCTCTTCTTATTTTTAGATCCGCAAGCGCGAGGAATTGCTGCCAATTGTATTCGATCGGAATGTGCATGCCGGTTACTCGGAGTATCGGCGATTGTCACCACCGGTGCGCGTTTACCCTGGTGATCGTTTGATTGCTGAATGTACGTACAACAGTTCACAGCGGACGGCAATTACATTAGGCGGTTTGACCACACGAGAGGAAAGCTGCAAAGCATTTGCTGTTTATTATCCAAAACAGCACAAATTAACTACGTGTCATTCGTTACCGAGTTTGCCGACGGTTTTGCATTCGCTGGGCATTAGTGAATTGGCGATGTAAGTGATTGTGTTTTTATGTTGCGTTCGGTCGTTGAGTCTTTTAGTCGTCGTTTGGTCGACATTGTGCTCCCATGTTCGGAGCATTCCGAGCATTCAAAGCGGAGCGTTCAATGAAAAAGATCCTTCCTTGCACACACACACACATCAACATAACCGTGGATACACATATATAGATGGATGGAGGGATGCAGAGGCGCGAATAAGCGAAACGAGCTAGAGAGCATAACGATGCAGGGTAACAATAAATAGCATCAATTTAATTTTGAGCTATGGTGCTTGCGGGTACATCAACGTGTGAAGAAACGTGTATATACAACAAATATGGGCGAATGAGCATTTAAGCCGAACCAAAAATGTCACCGTTCCCGTTGGTGCTCGTCCTCATCGCATAAATGCGTTTACCGTCGTCCGTGCTTTCGCTGTAGTTGCCTAATGCAATGATGATGTTAATGTGTGTGTGTATGTGTGCGTGCGGCTGTGGTGGTGCGATAATCTGGCTAAAAATACATGTTCCAATCGAACCATTTTTGCCGGCAGCTTTATTTATTTGTTGGCGTATCTATTTGTCGGCTACCCTTAGTTGTATTTAATTGTACACATTGAAACGCGTATTCCTCGGTATGAGTGTGTGTGTGTGTGACGACGATTGCCGATTGCGATTGTGACTTCTGATTTCGGCTTTTCGTGTATATTCGAGGCTTCTAATTTCTAATTTCAATTCTCATTCACATTTTGATGTTTTGCTTTGACTTTTCGCAGGGATTCGAACCCCGTATTGATCCTCCGTCCGCCCGAACTAGCTGGAATGTCACTGGAAAATCGGCTCACCAGCTATGATTGGCAAAGTCAATTCGATGTATTTCAACGAGTCACGCGAAACGGTTCATTTCGTCCCATTTGCTTGGATGCGAAAAACAACATGCTGGCGGTGAGTATATTTATTTAATACACGAAAAAAGGAATTTGAATTTTCTCTATTTTGCCTACCATTTCGTTTGCTTTGCGATTTTTCATTATTATTATTTGCTTGTTTGCATTTTCTAATATCACTTCAGTCCAACTCTTACAGCCAGAGAGTTGAGCTGTAAGTTCGGTTGAATTGAGTTCAGTTCAGTTCATTGTACGCAAATTGAGTGCGCCAGAGTGAGCGAGCGCGCACGATGAAGATTAATTTTGTAAATGAAGGGAGTTCAAAAGTTTCGGTTTTTCTTTGCTGAGAGTTCGAGGACTCGAAATTGGTTTTATTCAGGTACAAATTATTACAACGAGTGCACATGGCACATTCACACACAAAAACAAAGTTCCACATCAAATATGTATACGATGTATAAGTCTCTCACTGTCTCATTCTCTCTCGCTTGTTCATTCTTTATGAGTATGAGCGCCTACGCGCCACTCAATCTAAGCGCACCATCGACAAAATTTCAATTCTAAAAATAATACAATCGTTGGAAAATTCACGTTTCACCTTTCGTTGATACAAGTGTAATATCAAATAATATCTACATCAGCTGTGTTTGAATGTATAATCGCGCGCGCCGTTGTTACACTTCACCACGTTCTTTGATGTATCGAAATCACACATACACACAATGTGGTAGGCAGAGAGAGAGAGAGAGAGAATGAAAGAGAGACAGTGCGAGCGCGCTAGCGATACTTGACATGCGATTTAAGCTGCGCTTCCCATGAATCCATTTTCGATATTCAACTCATAATTCGGGCACGTACTCCAGACGTAATGCTTCCAAGTGCTCATCGTGAATGCGCTCGCGTTCACAATAAATTTTGTTGAGTTGCACTTGTTTTTTTCTTCTTCTGTTTTTTTATTTGCTGTGCCTACGTATCACCCAAAATCAAATTATTGTACACAATATTTGCCGCCGATATAAATTACTACAAAAATAAACTTACTATTCATATATGTAGTGTAATGGCTACTTCAATGTGTGACGTTCACTTAATGAATGGGCTGAATAATAAGCATTATTTTCCTGCTTTTGTTTACAATTGTGTAATACACGGCGGCTTGAATTGTATTTAAGTTGTAATAAAATAGCATGAGGTCATGTTCAATGCTATAAATATTCCGATTTTTCTTCTAATTTTACGCTGAAGTGGTCGAAGAGTTGTAAATTTGCATGAATTTACACACTCAATATTATAGCGACATCTCTTATTAAAATAGCTTGTAGTAAATGCATTTATAGCATTTCCCTGTAGTTGCGATGTTGCCTATTAAGTTCCCTTGTAGTACTGACACATTCATGTTTGACACTTGTTAACTACATACCACAGGGGAATTTAATAGGTAACATCGCAACTACAGTGAAATGCTATGAATGCGTTTACTACAAGCTATTTTAATAATAGATGTCGCTATAATATTGAGTGTGTAGACGATAGCATTTCTACTTTCTTTCTTTCGTTCGATTCGACCTAGCATTTGTTTTGCCCATTGAAGAAAAAGGCGGTATCAGTTGTGATTCGACACAAACATAGCAACAAGGCTATTCTGCCATTCATTTGAAGCGTCAGCGGTGGCGGTTCACACTCTTCGAACCGTGGACATTAGTTTCTTTGCAGTTGACGTTTTCGTTTCGGAATGGGTTGTCGTTTTCCAGCCTTTGGCATTCACCTCATGTGCTTGTTGTTGTTTTCTTCTGTTCACAGCACCACGGCTCCAAGGGACACTCAACAAATGTTCCTTAAAGCATAAACTTACATACTGATTTGATGGCGTTTTAATAAATACTTTCGAAAAACATAAACACTCACACTCATACACACACACACTCTCTCTCTCACTCCCTCTCTCAACACTACGGCTTAGACACACATGCCACATCCAAACGATTACGCTACATTCGAAAGCAAATCCTGGAAATAGAAAAAAAAATATACACATAGACGGAGCAGAGAATTCAAAAGAAACTTTAATCAAATGGATTTCCCTTTAATACGTTTATGCGAATTTACTGTTCAGTTTGTGAATTTCTTTACGAACGAGGATTTTATTTTCTATGTTTTTCTGTTATTCACTCTATGTTGCGGGGAATAGCGATAAAAGGCAAAGGGACGACACGTTTTGACGAAGTCTACGGCGAACTCATGAACTATCGAAAAGTCAATACAAAATGATACGAGAGTTCGTGGCGCTGCGAGCGCTCAAATGATGTTTGTACTGAAGTGTCGTCAGCTTGATAAAAGGAGAAGCAGAAGAGAAGAAGAAGCAGAAGAAGAAGAAGAAGAGAGAGAGAGAGAGGGGAAAAAACAAATTCAAAGAAAGAACCAAATAGAAACGAATCGAAAAAGTTTTTTTCTGAAAAAGTCATTTTATGAAAAATAAAAAAAGAACAGAGAACAAATGGCAAAGCACAAGCTGAGAACCGATTGCGTTGAGTTTTTGTTGAATTCAAGCGCGAATGTAAATGTGAATGCGTTTTGTCGCATGGTAATTCTTAGACGTATGAGGAAATAAGTTTAGAAGATGATAAAGTGGTGACGCACCACCATTCAAACCAGAGAGTAAAATAAGACATTTTTCTGACTACCGATTTTTTTTGAGTTCCATTTCTATAGTGTTGGATGAATATTTGATTCTCCACTTTTAACTTGTCGCGATCAATTGTTCCATTGCAACGACGCGCTCCATTGTTTGAATCTCACCTTCGAAACACAGAATTGGTATAACGAATGATTTTACTTTTCCACACGAGCATGTCGTGTATGAAAAGTATTGCGATCACCCCGGATTTTTTGACCTATTAAAAATCCCTTTTTTTCGATTTTTGAACGCCAAAAATCGCGAAATCTACCGTTATTTATGGGTCATCTCTTCCTTTGAAAATTCTTCGGGAATTTTATTATTCCCAACAAAAAAATATTTATTTTCACGAGACATTTTGAAAAAATACATATTGAAATGCAAAAACTACTAGATTACATGTTTTTAATTTTCATTTAGAATCATATTTTTGGGAGTGTAGAAAAGATCACCTTACGGATGTAAGGCACCTTGTTTTTTTTCAATTCTGACTTGTTCTCCAAAATATTAAAACTGTTTGCATTTATCGTGATTGTTTTTTCTTCTTTCTCTTTCTCTCTTTGCGGATCCGATGTGTAAAAATCGCAGTTATTTTTGCCTTGATTATATTCATTTGATTTTACCGAAAATACAATTTTCGAGTACCGAAACAAAATCTTGACTATCGATTTTATGCTTAAATAGCGCTTATTTTATTCCCTGATTCAAACGAACAAATGAACGAACGAACCCACTCAATCTCAAATTGTTAGTTTCGCAAACTTTTTCCAAAGAAATGCTCATTAATTGAATCCGATTCCGTTCTGTGTGCGTGTGTCGTATGCTAGCATTTTCGCATGAGTGCAAGAATGGTTGTGATTGTTGCCATTCAACTTTTGCTGCTCTATTCGCCTTTTTTCAGGCCATAGGAAATGTTTTTAACAAGACAGTGAAGTGAGACATTGAAAACCTTTTTACATTACAAATTAACGAATAAATAAATCTGCTCTTTCGTTTGATTTCCACATCCGCCCTCGACAAAAAAAACTTATTTGATTATAAACTTCCAAATTATATGGAAAATAATGTGTAATTTTTGGTCTCAAGAGTCTTTATGTGCGTACTAATTACGAGCTTTTATAATATGTATATGTCAAAGATATTGAGAGCGACATTTTTAATCAAATTACAATTCAAATGGAGCATTCATATTAAGTCAATGGAAAATCATCAAATTTTGATTGCTGTGCTATTTGGGTCCGAAATTGGAATGTATGCCATTTTGAGTGAAATAAATATGTAATTGAATTGCCAAATAAAGACGTCGAAATCAACGAACAATCGACCGATGAAAGAGTGACCAATCCCATTTTTCGACTGCAAATGTGTCTGATGGATAGCACATGCGACGCAGTTCAACAGTCAATCAAAGACTAAAAATACCGAACGTATAAATAAATGGAGCCTGAAATGCAGAGCAGACACATAACTTGAGAATTTCCAACATTGTAAAATGACATCGTACTCGTTCGTTTCAGTAGAATGAGAAGACGAAGGAGCAGACAGAGAAAAAAGGAATAAAATGCGAAACGTCTGAGCAATATTACTCCAATCGTCATTAACCAGTCCGTACAATTTTGAATGACAATATCGCGTGTATGTAATTTTAATTTGTGGCCATTAAATCGCCGAACGCCAAGTGCTCATGTGTTTGAATAATTTTAAAATATCCATTCGTAAATCGAGCCGGCCAGCCAGCCAGCGAGTGAACGAGCACACAAACCATACGTTCGCTGTTCATTAAATCAGCACAAAGTGCGCACACATTCAATCACTCTCCTTTGTCGAGGGAATGTTGTCAAGTGAAGAATCTGAAACCCCAAAAATCAAGTTGGCTAAATATTTAATATGAATTTGAATAATTTAGCTAAGCGAGGCATCGATTCATTGTGGTTAGGTTGTGTGTGCCACAAAATTTGTGTTGGATTTTCGATGAGCCTCCATTGTTATTAGCCCCATTTACTAAATTAATTGGCATTTTTACTTCGAAATCACATTCGATTTGCGTCACTCACTCTCGGCATATGTGGCGGCGGCGGCGGCAGCAACGGTGGTTGATTGGCTCTTTGTGTGCGCGTTAGTACAACCGCGTTTTTCGTAATTAATCGATGTCGGTGGACAAATTACTGAAGTCTTTACCTCAATCGACAATGATGAAAAAAAAAATTAGAATAACCGGCACAAGCTAAAGATCAGATTGATAACGATTGATAAAAACGTATTATTGTTGTTGTTGGTTTGTGTATTTCAAATGTATTAGTCGGATGCGTATGTGTTGATTGTGTGCCAGCTGTGAATACGTGTCAAAGTTGGGGGATTTTTTTTTCCGGTGCGTTTCATACAATGATTATTGGTTGGTCTCGAGATAGATGGGATAGGGATAAAGAGAGAGAGAGAGAGAGAGAGAGAGAGAGAGAGAGAGAGAGAGAAAGAGCAAGCGCTGAGATTTTTGTCGTCGTAATCATTTTCTTGGCGGCAGTGGCGGCGTTCATATACGGGTCAAATCGAGCGTAAAGGTAAATCCAAATCACATGTTTCCATTTCGCTTTGTTTATCGAATTGGAAATGCGTCCGCATGAATATTTTCGTGACTGCGTGTAGGACTTTTATGCCTACATTGCGTGTGTTTTTAACCTTTATTTATTATACATTCCGAACTGCTGACGAACATAATAAAATACTAATGCCGTTATCGGATATGAAAACTTTGTAAGCTTTTTGCTCCCCTATTCATTTGAGCGAGAATAACTGGAATTTTCGTTCGATATGTGATCCTCCATCGTTGACCAAAATGTGATATGCAAATTGGAAACGAAAGCTTTCATAATAATCAATGGCCAAAAAAAAGAAGAGAAAAAAAAATTTCGCATATTATGCGGGACCCATTCGTTATATTTCTCTTTTGGACGAAAACAGCTGAAAAAAAAACCAATCACGCTTTTCCACTAGCATATACCTTAACGACTGGACTGAACTGAACTGGATAAACTAGCGAACATTTCAAGCAAATTTGTGTATGATGCAACTGACAGTTAAAGTAAAAAGTGTGGCTGTATGTGAGTGTGTCGTTACTGATATATGATGTGGATGAGGGAGGAAATGTGTACACACCAGACAGTATGTAACTGGTTCAGGCCAGCGTACGCAACGTTGTCTAGCCCATTTCACGTGACTGTTACAAGCGTCACAGAAATCGTTGTGTAATTCCATTGAAACGAATTTAGAAATACGTGCCCAAATCATATAGAAAGAAACCATCGTGATAGAGGAAGAGGACACATATTGTCACTTTTGGTACCTGGCCGACTCATTTTTACCACCTGCACACAGTCACGCTTTTGTGTGTCCCCTTACTTTTTCTCATGTATAGTTTCCATTGAACTAGATTAACAAAAAACCACCAAAACAAATATAACAACATTTTGGTTGGGCATTTTGGTGATTGCCATTTTTTTTTCCTTATGAAAATTCGTTGTTGTTTGTAGCCTCTCACCGATTCACTACAAATAATATGACTTCATTAAAAAAAAAAATGAAAAAATCGTAGATACTTTTGAATGAAATGCGTCCAACTGACGATTTTCAATTATTCATTAAAAATGCATTTGCATGTCGCTCATTCTTTTGTAATCACGTCGTCTTCAGGCTCACACGCAAAGCGACCACCTCTCTCTCTCTCTCTCTCTCTTTCTCACTCACTCACTCACCATATTTCTGTTTTCCATTATCTCTTTTAATGTAAATTGTGCACACACACATAATGTAGCGAACTTTGGCTGAGAACTTTGAAAAGTATCACCACTTTTTATTGCCGTTCATTTGTTGCGTTCGTGGTTGTTGTTTTCCGATATTTGTACTGCGATGGAGCTGAAAAACTTTTTTCTGTGTCTACCATACTCTGTCTGTGTGTGTTTTTATGTGTGATGATTTTCAGCGCATTTTCGCGAAGCGGCTGTTTTTATTTCCTGCGTTCGTTCACTCATTCATTCTTTATCGCTATGTTTTTGTATATGTGTTTTATTTCATTTTTTTTCGTGTTGTTGCTGTTTCTGTTGTTGTTGTTGTGGCAGCAGCTCCCTATCTGACGCAAACCGATGATGTGTAACATCGACCGAATATTTCATGTGGTCATTCGTTTGAATCATGAATGTTCAATGAATGTTGTATGTGCTTTATCAAAAACTAAACTGAAAGAAAATAGCAGCAACATTGGCTAGCCATTGAATATCGAATGTGAGGAGGAAAAAAAACGAGACGATACAGAAAATGGAATATTTTGCCCGGAAAAATGATAAACTGACATTTTGACTCGGGAAGCGTGGTAAAAGGTATAAATACGGAAAAGTTTTCCATCACGCTCAAACAAAAATATGGACGAGAGCACAGCCAGAATAAAAAAAAAACTTTGCGAAATTCCCAAGTACTGATGAAATATAATAACGGACTTTTGAATGCGAGTATGAATGACTGTGTATGGTTGGACTGTGTTGAAGTTTTCGAGCGTGCTGCAGTTTCGAGCAGTCAAAATAAGAAAGCATGTCGTGTAATTGAAAGTAGATTTTGTTTTTATGAATTTGTTGTCGTTGTTGTTGTGTTCGTTGTTGGTTTTTTCTCAAGTTTTTCGCTCAGAGTTTTTTTTATTCGCAATGAATATTTAAGCTTATTTCCATGACGTGACAATTTAAATTGAACTCATCCGTGATAGAAAGAGAGAAAGGGAGATCCGTGTGGGAGTAGTATGGTGGTGAACATCAATTTGCGATAATGTGATTCGTTTTCACATGTGTGTGAATATATGTGTGTATGGCAATATAGTGGGCACGCTGACTTGCACTTGCACTTATACACGCGCACAAGGTATTCTATAGTTGCAGCAATAAAAGTAGATAATTCAGATATCGCAATGTCGTATTAAGCGTTATTTTTAAGCCACTTGGAAATTGAGAGTAAAACATCGCATGCAATATGCATGGATGCATCCATCGAGTTACATAGAATATCTCCGGTGTGAGCACAAACAACAATGCATAATACTTCCAACGACGCTCTCCGAAATATTTGGCCACCGAATGAATGAACAATGAAACGGAATACCTATCTATTCCGTGTATGTGAGAGAGCGAATGAAACGAGCCAACCAACGAATGAATGAACGGTAAAGCGAAAGCGATCCCTGAGCAAGCTCGAACAATGAGCAAACTGAAACACCGTACAGACAAAATTCTATTTAATATTGATAAATATTGGCATTGATTTATTACGACGGGATTTTATGGTCTGTAAAATTTTATCTAGTTTGTTTCTTTCTCTCTCTCTCACTCTCTCGCTCGTTCGCTTTATCTATCGCTATGTGTATACGAAATCGAGTTTATTTTTGTGACGTGTGTGTGAGTGAGTTGAGGCTATGTGCATAAGGGGATGTAAATGGTGGTGGCCAGCGGTATTTGTGTCTCTGTCTTTGTTTGTGTTGTGTAAATGTATTTGGAATTTTGTGCCAACGAAGAAGAGGAAGAGACTAGATCAGCTCCGAGCCACGGCTCTCATTTTTGTACGTCCGGATTAGCCCGTTTATAAGTAATATTGTATTTGTATTGTTTCGTTTCGTTTTGCATCTATCACGATGAATTTATGCCAAGCGATTCGAATAGTGAATGTGACTGACTCTTATTTTTGCTGCCTAGTTTAGCAACATACCTAGGGGGTAGGAACACAAGCGCTTGAGACGAATTCGTACGAATATTCGTGAATTCTTGTGTATACGAGACATTCGCAACGCAGTGAGTTTACAACAACAATAACAAAGCCACGAACGCATGAATATATGCGAATACATACGAATGACACAACTTGTTCCTAGCCCCTAGCAACATACTGAACGTTATTGCTGCTTGATGGTGGTGCCGTGCTGCGCTTGAAACGCATCTTTGTAGCATTTTTCTATCAAAGCATTTTTAAATAGACTTCTGAACTATTGTGGTTAACTATATTTTTCTATATAAACATCTTTTATGTTTCGGTTGTTCTTCGGTCTTACAGTACTGAGCACATAGCACAGCACACGCATATTTCATGTGCACAAGCAAAGAAGTGTACAATGCACGATCGGGTCGAAAACAAAATGGCATGAAAAGAATCAGTTACATTTATCATTTCGGTGTCGTTTTCTTCCAATTGTAAGCTGACAAAGATTTACCATTGTTTTCCCTCGCCTCTCTCTCGCTCTCCCTCTTTCTCTCGTGCTCTGAAACTGAAGATGGTTTGCTGCACCTTTCGGTTGCTTTGTGCGTTTCGCTTTCACTCATGGCCAAACTATCGGCAGCATTCTGTGCATTATCAAACAACAAACTCCACTATGCTATTGTGTAAGAAAATACAAACATGGGCATATATTGTGAAAACAACCGAGAAAAGGAGATAGATAATTGTAGAAATGGACCGATGCTCCTGCAACAAATAATAGTCGTCTCGAATGAGCTGCTGTTAATTTGCAGCGCCGAAACAAAATGGACAAAATAAAAGTTGTAATAAATGTTGAATTGGCTCGAAAACGGCGATTGGATTTGTTAGACTAGTTCCACTTGCAATAATGGTAGTTCTTATCTGGTATTTGTTTGCTATTGATATATCACTTCCTCTTTCCTCTCACTTCTGCACGCGATATCGCAAGTCGATTCGTGTGTGTGTGGGTGTGTTTGTGTGGCTGTGTATGTGCGGGTGTATTTTTTTCCATTGTGTTCTCGTTGCTTTGATTTACTGCGTATTTCCCTATTTTCACTTCAAGAGCTATGTGTATTTCGGAGACGAAAAATTTGAACCTGGAAATACTGTTGTAGCGATCCAACAGTAGCCAGTGTCTGTTCAATGCGCGCTCATCGTTGCTTTTTTTGTTGTTGCTATAATCGTCGTCGCTATCGTGTAGTGAAATTGGCGCATGAATCATAATTTTTTTCCAATATCCTTTAGCATCGCATCACCAATTTTAATTTGCTTTGAACCCTTTCTGCTCATATCTCATTTGTTCGTCTTCTCATCATTTTTCTTTTTTTCTTTTTCAAAAATAACATTTTTGTTGTTGTTGTTTTTTACTTACAGGGCACCGAATCAATTGAACGTTCCAGCCCAGTGTTAACGAAGTATTGGCAACAGCCAGCCGACACCTGCGTTCATTTTCAACATAATTACAAAATTGGAGGTAAAATTGATTACAACATAACATTTACATCAATAAAACTTTATTGGTATACGGGCTACATCATCCATTCGATCGATTTGCACACGACGTATAATGTTGAAAAAATGTATCCACTCCAACATGTACTATTATTATATTCGTTGTGCATGTGTGTGTGTGTGTTTGAGCTCATTGTGAGCAATGAGCAGTGCCGAGTACACCATTTATGCTAAATGGATGATGCAGTGATGGTGTGGCAAAACAAAACCATAATCTACAGCAAAACAATCGCCATCAATAAAAACTGTTCTGCCATTAATATAGCTCAATCCATTCATAACATGCAATGGCAATGGCAATGGTCGTTGGGCCAATGGATGCTCCAGCATCCATCGCTTGCCACCCGACACACTGCCACTGCCACTGCCGCTCCACCAAACACCATTACACCTCTACTGCTAAATGTCGAAAATGATGAAATGAAATTATTAAAATGTGTTTTTCGTTTTCTCCCTTTCCATTTTCTATTTTCGGACTACAGAGATAACAAATGTGATTGATACACGGAAAAATTATGTGGCGGCCAACGATGGCAATTCGGAAGCGGAATCGATGAGCTTAAGTGGTTCGCGTACGATCAATACGCCATTAACGAATCTGGCGCTATTTATAACGGCGCTATCGATCATGGCATTTGCCACTTAATGAGATGTAAACGCAACACCGATGGCAACAACGGCAACGCCAACACTGATGACAACCACTGCAAATAGATGCTAGCTGCCACCGTGGATAGAGACAGAGACCAATTTCAATCGATAAATTCAAGGCGAATTTTTTTTTACAATCACCTTGCAACATATTTCACAGCATCTAATTCAATAAACAAACAAGCGCAATGGGTAACAATCAGGTAGCGTTGTCACGGTTTACATAATTGAGAAGAAGAAATTCAGAAGAGCAGTAAATAACCAACAGATTTTTACGTTTTCATTGACATTACGAAGTTTTTCTTTTGTAATTTTTTATTCTACATCAGTGATTGTTAACTCATTTCAAAGAAGAAGAAAAAAAATAGAGAGAGCATAAAATTGTAAGTTGTACATTTCGCCAGAGCAATGTAATGACAGCACCAATTTTCAAAAATAGAAACTGAGAATGACTGTTTTTTTCTTTTGGTTTCTTGAGAGACTAGTATACAGTGTAATTGATACACAGATATAGACAGACAGATTGACAGAGAGTGATCGAGCACCCAACTTGCTCTCGAAACTATCAAAACATAGGAATATGACATCGCGCAAATGAACGCTTCTAGTGTCCATTCTCAACTCCTCTCCAAATTTCTTTTTCAATTTGCTTTTCGATCTTAACTTTTGAAGAAAAAAAAATCCGATAAACTGCGAGTTCCATTTTTCTCCTACACCCCTACATTCTCACTCCTTTACCTCTGTAAATCTATTCGCAATTCGGAATCTATGGTCCGAACGAATCGAAACGAGATGCATCACCAACAATACTCTGAAAAATCGGTAATAGCTCATTTCATTGTTCCACATCCTCTCAACTCTGAAATTGCATTGGTAAAACATATAAAGAAGAATTTGAATGGTTCTGGGTTATTCAATGGATGGATTGAACGAATTATTTTGCATCATACGAAACAAATTTGGTTGAAAACCAAAAACAAAGAAAAACGAACTATTATTCGTTCGATGTTGTTTAGTGCGATGCAATGTGATTTGCTTCCGAGTGCCTTAAAACAATTTCTAAAATGTTGGCAAATTAAAGAAAACAAAATGAACAAAGAAATCTGCCCAAAACTAAACACACAGTTACACACAATAATAAATATATTTCTACTTGAAATCAATGTATATAAATCCAATTTTAAGTCCTCCTTCACCACAAATGCCATCATCGATATATGCAAGGAAAAAGAACCGAACGAAGAAAAACTCAAACAAATGAACCAAACTGCAAATCGATCACACGCTAACACCGCGACCACAATAAGGATTCTCTTACCCTGTTGCGTTGGTGGGGTGGGCGGGTGATATGTGACGAGCAACATGACGCGATGGTATGATCAGGATTTTTTCCACTAATTTCAGTTCCTGCTGCTTGACTGTAATCACTTAATCACTTTAATGAAGAAAAAAAAACACACAAAAATCAACGGTTTCTTTGCTCTCTATGTACAAATAAAAGAATGAACAAAACCACGAGTCATAAATCAGTTTTCACATCAGGCACGAATTTCATATTGCTCGTTCGCATTTGTCAATAATAATATATTAAGCAAAAAAAATCTTTGTCGATGTGATTAGACACAAGCATTTTAACCTTGTTGCGAATGATGCACACACTCTTCTTTTCCGACTCCTCTTTCGTTCAACACCATATATTATTTATTTCCATCCCCTCTGAAACCCAATAATATCGCTAAAATAAAAAGCTTTGTTGTTCGATTTCCATTCTGATATGCTAAACATGAAGAAAAAAAGAGAAGACAAAAACTTATACGTATACACCTCTATTGTTCCCTGGTTTGTTTGCGTGCGCGATGTTGTACAGACAGGCTAATACTGTGAAGAAGAAGAAAAAAAAACAAGAGAATTGTGAATTGCCCAAAGAAAGAATTATTTACTGTTCGAAAGAAAAACAAAAACAATGTAAGTAAACAAAGAAAATCAGCAACAACAACAATAACAAAATAGTGTAGAATGTATTTTGAAACCATCACATTTTGCCATTAAAATTGGACTGGCATTTCGGTGGCAAAAAGTTTTAATGATTAAGCAATCCTGTTCTTTATTATTTATCGATTGAAATTTTTTTTCCTCCCCCAATAAACAATCGCAATTTGATGTATAAGTTGTAATAAAAAGCATGAAAATGGTCCAGTCTTTTGAAAATTTATCGTTAAACTATTTATATGAACAAAGAGAATAAAGAAAAAAGAAACAAGAAAGGGAATAATTGGAAAAAAAGAAAAACCATTGAAGAATGAGTGAAAGAATAAGAAAAAAAAAACCGGAATCAAGGGAAACATTGTATTCATCTGTCATTTTAGTTTTGCATTCCAACATGTGTCCCTCTTCCTCCGTTTATCATAATCAAATGGACAGATTGAGGTGGATTAACAGCAATTTTTAATAAACAAAAAGAAATAAATGTCTATACAAATGATGTATAATTCGGAAAGCAAGAAGCATATTTCCTTTTGCCGAAATACGTATAGAATTTATGATGGTTCAGTCTAGGCAAAATCATATTAGTGTTCGTAGCTAAAAAATAAAGCAAATGATTTTGTCCAGAGTTTCAGACAGGCAGGCGGTGCTCACATAGTGTATACTAGCCAAGCAAATGCATCAATATATTTATTCCGAATGAAAACACACTTTTCCCGGACACAGAAAAAGAAAAACATGCAAAGGATGAATGAACAAGAAGCAGAAGGATAGAAATCACAGAAATAATGTAGAAAATGAAACTAAACTTAATTTAACTAATTTATTGACCAACACAGATTGTCGCATTGGTGTTTGGAATTAATGATGAACAGTATAAACATTTTAAGTATAAACATTTTTGCTGAAAGAGACCACAATATTGAGCTCATTTTGTTTGATTTAAATGTTTTGATAAAACATACAACACCCATCTATATATGATAAAGCAATGGAAGAAAACAACAACAACAACAACAAATTAGGAAAGCCAAACGAAAAGCGATGACAATGTTTTATGCATCTCTTTTGCACGTGTTACATTTTGTATTTAAGGAAAAAGGAAAAGTGAAAACAAATAAACAGAAAAAAAGTTGTCTGAAAATCTGTAAAAAAAAAATCACACACACATGACATGTCTCACATGTTTAAATTGTGGAATTGGATGAGTCGAAGCCAATATGTAAAAAATATTGATGGAATAAACTAGGAAACAAACTTGAAAGGAATAGTATTTAAGTAAGCTTTATCCAAGTAAGCCAAAGAATATTGTGAAAGAAATTGAAATGATCATTAGATCACAAACAAATCAAATAACGGATCTGATGCATGTAATGGCACGAGAAAGAGAGTGATTTGGTCATTTCTCCCGTGACATTTGATTAGAATATATCAGACATATAAAACAGAGAGAAAAAAAGAAGTCGACGAACACGCACTGAATAATGAATAATGAAAAGCAATACGTATACATTTATACATACAGAAACAAATTATTATAACATGAAATTTATTGATAAAAAAAAAGAAGAAAAAACAAACAACAACAAAACAAAGTAAATAAACTAAACGTAAAACTAGTTGATTTTAGTTGATGTGAAAACTACTGGTAGCAATGTATCCCAGATTAGAAAATATAATGTAAGTCCAATAGACAAGCAGACAGGCAGACACATTTCATAAAAGAAAACAATACTATTTAATCTAATTTTTAGCCAGTAAACTTCATTACAACCGCATTGTGAAAAACAGAAAAATTTACGAGAAAGAGAATCAACATTTAGAAATGACATGATGATAAAGAAGATGAATTCACACTGCCCGTTCGCAGATAAACTCGCAACATTTTGGGGATAAGACTATAACCTATAAAATGAAGAAATAAAAATTATCTTATTGTTCTAGAGAAATTATTCGGTTGTTTTGCTTTTGCTTATTTTCCATAGTAGCATGTGGTACTGCATCACAGCGTCAATGATTTTCGAGAATTGAGGAAACTTTGCGGTAAGTAATCCTAAGGGGTACACACACATAGAGAGACAGAGAGAGAGAGAGAGAGAGAGAGAGAGAGAATAGGTGGGTTACTGCATCACGAGGCATCAAATCAATGAATTCTCAAATAGTTTAGAGACAGAACGAAATTATAAACAAATTTTACCGAAATAATTTCCTGATTTGCGTCATGTAATTCCGAAGAATCCAATTCAACTCATATTCTTGCTAGCGACTTTACCTCAAAACAATGGCAATTCTCAACAAAATCATCGCATATCCTAAAGCAATTCAGATCAAATTGCGATGCAATTTTGGAATTTGCTCATTTACCAAAATAAGCAAAAATAATTTCGGAATTTATTGCATCGAATGCTAACTGCTGTCGGTGTGTTTATGTTTATGTGTGATTCAACGATTTTCATGAATTCATTGGAAAAGTTTAAGGCGAGTGTGTGCGCGCGTTTGTACAACGACAATTCAATAAATATATGGGCGTTGAACATGTTTTATGTGTGCTGAAAGAAAACAGTGCGACAAACACGCGCGAACGAGCGCGATATTCATTGCCCGCCGACAAATGATGTATGCCATGCTATATATATATATATATATATGAATATACATTGTGTACAAGTGCATGGATTTTCCGGATTGTTTGACAAATCAAGTAAAAATTTTGACGAACGACACCGCTCTCCGTGTATGCCATTGTATTTGCATTTTGGCTTCGTCATTTAGCGATTTCACATTATTCACCAAAATATGAAAATGCTACGTTTTGGTTATGGTACCGTAACTCCTAAAATATGCAAGCCGGTTTTGATGCGACGAATGAGCGTCGATGTCGTTGTCGTTGTTGTCATCGTCTTAATGCACATACTTCATCATTTTATTCCGTTTGATGCGCATTCAGATTCAAATTTCCAACAAAATGTGGCTTTCTTATTTGAAAACCGCATATAAAATGTACGTTGGAAAAATGACGATGAGCAAAATAATTGTTTTGCAGTGTATAAAACGAGTGGAGAGAGAGAGAGGGAGAGGGAGAGAGAGAGAGGAAGAGGGAGAGAGGAAGAGGGAGAGAGGAAGAGGGAGAGATAGAGGGAGAGGGAGAGGGAGAGGGAGAGGGAGAGAGAGAGAGGGAGAGGGAGAGAGTGATGGAAGGAGGTTGGAATGGGTGAAACACTTCACCCTGGCGAAATTAATCATGCAAATGAACGATTTTGAGACAATGAACTGAACTCGATTGAATTGAATTAACCAACATATGCAGCATTATTAACGGAAACATGAATTATGGTGGTTGAAGCGATTTCATTGTGTGCACATTTCATTAAATTCTCGTTCGTTCGTTTGTTCGTTTTGAGTTCGTACGGTGTTCGTTTTGTCCTTTCTCTCTATCGTGTCTCACTCTTTTCCTTCTACCTTTGTTGCATCAATGAAAAATTGATGCGCTCTTTTGGCCAATTATACATTACAAATGATGAACAAGCATTGACTAGACAAATGCATATAGCGAGCGAACACATATGCATTTGTCGGACTGGCAAATTCACCGGAATGAAATACAGCGACAGAGACAGATAGTGAAATGAAACGAAAAAAAAGAACCGAATCCAAATTATTAAAGGATTTGTTCAATTGGTAGTGCAGAGAATGTGCGGTAGCGCCAAATTTGGGTTGGAAATTTTACATTTTGTACTTTACTTCAAACCACCAACGCTTTGATCCACTCACTTCATTTGAGCGAAACGAACATCGTCGTCGTCGTTGTTGTCGTCGTTGTCATCGTCATCGTCACAATGACGATGTTACAGACAATTTTCCATAACAAACACACAAAATCCCCCTGCAATTTAAATACATAATGTGCTTGTTTAGTTACTGTCTTTCTGTTCGCTGTATGGTTAGCAGTTGTGAATTGTAACGATGAGAAGGACTTTTCGAACGAATAGAAAAAATTATGAACACTGCAAAAGCAAATAGACGATCACTTGCTTCCAGTAAACTAACCAGCCAGGTGATTAGGGGAATTCGAAACGTCTCGGTAACCCGAGAATTATGTATCGAAATAGATGTGTGTGTGGTTCAGCGTTGGAATTGACAGTATTAAATTTGCATGGCATACGCCTCTGTCGCACATGCAAAGTGTGTGTACTGCTCAAACCATACATGGGTTTTATTATTGAGAACGCATAACTCGATGATAACGGAAATAATTTCCGTTAATTCATGTAAAATGCAGCGAAGCGCTTTGGCGATCACCCATGCTGTTGTTGAATAATGTTCTTCAATAGTGATAAGCGGTACAATCACACGCGCGCTCTATCCCCATACCTACCTGCTCATCGTCGTTTTGGCGAGAGAAAAATAAAATAAAATATATATGCAACGCCAGCATTTCACATTCATGCAATGATGAAATCATGCCGATTTTGACTTCCACTTGTGTGTTTTGCTGCTACAATTTAAGAGGGTTAAACACGCGCTCCCTTTGGAATATAAAGGAGATGGAATACGTTGCACAAAGGTGAAAATTAACCAAGCGATTTATATAATGTATACTTGAAACAATGAAACGTGGTCGGATCAAGATCTAACGAGATACCGGCCATTCGCTAACTCGCTCGATTGTTCGCTCACTCATTGCATTCTGGATAAACTTCAACGCTGTGAAGCACAATGTTCTTATATTCAACAGATCCGAAACCTTTCAGAGTTCTGTTTGTCCCTATCGGAAGTTCACTGACATAAATCATGAATGACGTTTGAAATGCCATTTTTGACAAATACCATTTCCAATATTTGGGTAAACCTTGTGACGAAATCATTTAATCAAAGGAGGAAAATTGTTTTTGCATCATTTTGGCGTCTCCACTCTCTCCGTCTATTTTTGCATTGAGACTTGAAGTCTCAAATGCAAATCTTTATGGTGGAAATGGAGACGTCAAAATGATGTTTCAAATGTACGGGAGACTATCGTCGTCCTTTCCAAACTCTACCGTATAGATGCCGCTAGAGCATCATTTGCTGGATATCTTCCATTTACGATTCATGTTGTTGATAAACTTGTAATCATTTTGTTTTCTTTTGTTGTCTTCTCTCTTTCTTTCGCTCCTCCAAATCAGTATTATTGTGATTTTGCTATGCCAGCGTCGCCATCGATAACGATGAACGACTCCCGTACGCACAGCGCACACACATGTGAAATCGAATCGAATTTCACAAAAGGAGTTCACCGTAAGAATCAACCACCTTTCCGATCAATACCATAAATACTGTTTAATTCTCGAGCCAACGCAGATAAAAAGGTTCGAGGATCTAAATCAGTTTGTGGGGCCCCTACGCATCGCAAAAACCATACACAAGAGGGAAAACGTGAAATTCTTTTATGGAAACTATTAAAATGAACGTCGCATTTCAATTCATTGACATAAACGGTCGCTTATAAAGTTGAACGGGATGGAGTGAGAGCGGGGAAAAGGGAGGGCGAGTGGGAGAACGTCTTTCGTATAAAATCGCATCTCTCCCCCGGCACTCTTTCCGGTCCGCATTAACGCAAATCATTTATGCCTAGATTTGATTGGTAATAGTCTCAATAAGATGTATGTGTAAAAAGTGGCATGTCGAAAACGGTCGTCGCAATTTACAACGCTGTGAAAATGTTCTCTCGCAGCTAAGCAACCCTCGAATGCGATTGCTTCAGTGAATCCAGTTTTGGTGGATTGCAAGCATTTACTGCGGCGCGTACACACACACACAAATGTGTGTATATATCAAACATAGTACACCCATGAAGTATATTTTGCTAATTGGATCAATATAATAAATAATGGCATGAACGTGAGATATTTATTTGTGCAAGGTTCGTGCATGTGTGCTGTATGCGGTACGGTTACATTTCTCTCGTCGATTCACGGGAGATGCCTACCTAAACTCGCAGTTATCATGAAATGGAATAGCGTTCCACCCTTTATTTCTTGAACCATTTTGGCAATTGCATGCTTTTGGTGTATATTCTGGGTTTTCATTTCGTTTGTGTAAGCGATTTTTTTTCCTTCTCTTCATCTATCGTTTAAATGAACTTGAAAATTCCAACCAACCAACGAACCAGACAGATAGACAGACAGCGTGTGTGCGCGCGAGAGAGAAAGAGAAAGAGAGAGAGAGAGAGAGAGAGAGAGAGAAAATGAGATAGGGAAAGAGAATGAGAGATAAGAATGGCTCGAGGCTTTCTTTTGATGGTCGCTATAATTCGGTCATTTTGATCCCAAATAATCTGAACTATACCATCGACATCCATCAAAGAACTTTCACGAAATTTGCCTGCTGCTCCGCTCCAATGCTTCCGCTTTAAAACGCGGCACAGAAGCTCTCTTCTATAAATTAAATCAAGAATTTGCAGTTCAATGGTGCGTCTAATGCTAATCGAAATGTAGTTTATGACTCCTTTATCCGTATACGTGCTTTTCTTCTCTTTATCTCTATATCACCACTGTGTATGTGTGTGTGCGCGCGCGTGGAATGCTCACAATTGCTTAAAACACATTCCTTCACCACATAAAAATTAAGGAGTAGTGCTTCAAAGAAGAAGAAAAAAATCCGTCCCTCTTATCCAGAACATATGCATCCAATCTGTTATCAGAGTCATTCAAGTCTCCAACAGCACTGTGTGGGGAACACATACTTTACAGTGATTGATGGAAAATGTGGACGTCCAAAAAAATGACAAGACGAAAGAAAGAAAAAAACACACGCACACACAAACGATATGATAAAGTTGTCAAAATATTTGTTGGACATTGAAGCCTCAGCAAAGTATCTGGGTATATAGTTGCTAACCGCTACTCCTATAATTAGACAAATATAAATTGTGTCTTTTGGCTCGCAAGCTACCTCTTCAACCGACATCGCAATAGCTATTGGCAACCAATTTTTCGTCTTATAACATTCAAATGTGAAAATATTTGTTGTGTGCTTGTTCCTCACACTTGGTTTTCAACTCTGATATGGCATGGAGATGAAAACATTGTAGCTTCTTGTTTAATATTGATTACGATGGTGGCAGTGATAAAATCACTTTGAGATTTGCTAAGAGTGTTTGCAATTTGCACAACGCTCTCTCTCTCTCTCTCTCTCTCTCTCTCTCTCTCTCTCTCTCTCTCTTTGTGTGTGTGTGTCTTCATTCCATATGTACCGCTACAAAGTATGAGCCAGCCAACTGTTCGGGGAAAGCGCCAGAAAACCAAAGAAACGGCTGAATGAATCAACAACATGTAGATAGATATATTCGTCGACTGAAGACATACACACACAATATTTGCACACTGGCAAATGGAAATTTCACCAGACTGAGTTTTACTTTTATAACCACATAAGCTGGAACTAGAGAACTCAAAACTTGGTCTTTGTCTGTGAACTTGCTGTCTATTTCGCCTTCAGTATCTTCCGTCATTGTCCCGTTTTACTGCTTGCATCGGTTTTTATTACGATAGCGTTCACACAACGTGCTCATGGAATGGGTACTAGAGAGACAGTGTGTATGTGCTGTGTTGTGTGTTTTTTGTTTCATTTTCACTTCTTCTGTTTCATCGTTTCATTTATGCGTTGTGTGGATGTGATGCACTGCGCTTCGATCGATTTCGGAGAGATTCAGTTTAAGAAAGTCTTTTGGTCGGTGCCGATTTCGATGTGTCTCTCTTGCTCTTGCTCTATATCTAGCTCTTCTATATATTGTAATTTTGACGTTCATTCAAAGTGCACACGAACTGAAACCATTCAGTGTGCATTCACACTCGGATGTTCTACGTCTCATTTGGGAAAAGTTACGTTTCTTTTTATTTTGACTTGCAAGTCAGTTTTTAGTGTGAATGTTTTAGTCACAAAAAATAGAAGAAATGTGCTGTGCATTTAGCTCTCTTTCAACATCAACATCAACTGGAAGTTAGTTCACATTGCATGCCTTGATGTGTCTCTCTTTTATTCTTTCTCTTCCTATGTATGTGTGTTCCTGTGTGTTGAATTTGTTTGCCAATGTTGAAGTCAATGTGATTTGACGAAGAAAATTTCAAATTTTCCTACCAAAATCAAATGTACTTTTCCCTTTTCAAACTTGCAGCATTTCTCTATTCAACTAACATATAATGAAGTTTTGCTCAAGTTTCTTTATAGCTTCAAACGGGACGCTACTGCGCTACTCTCGACATTTAGTAAAAATAAATGAAATTTTCGTCCAATTGAATAAATTTGAAATGAAATGAATTCTAAAAATTGCAAACGAACACATTCTACTGATGGGATAGTGGGGTAAAAAAAATGAAAGAAGCTTTGAAATATTTATAATTAATCGGCAAACGACAAATACGGTACCACTGCGAACCATTCGCTTTTTTGCGTTCGAAAAAGGTCATCGTGAGTACAATTATTTGCGAGCTTTTGTTGAATACTCTCGCAAAATAATCAGATTACCAAACCAAACTGAAATCCCTGACAGCATATTTCGGGCCTATTTTCCCATGCATATGCTTGCGTCTCGTCATATTTGAAACACAATGGAAATAGACAACCGAATACGAAACATTCATTTATGAGTGCTTAGATTCGTCGAAAAGACCGGCTAAATTGCACAAATAATTCTCGAATTTTTAACTTTACATTCACCATGTTGCTGTTGTTGTCACTAATATTCTTGAGCCGAATGAAAAAAGAGGAAATCATTTTCGAAAATGATTCATTCTCTTTAATTTCATGCAAATTGAATAATATCGTACATACTTACAAAGTGTCAGGAAAACTTGGAAATTATTCAGATATTGTTAACAATATTCAGACATTTGATGATGACCCAATATTTTTGGGTCTATTGACAGCAGCCGCCGGTATCGCCACCACTACCACCCCACCATCAATAAATATACATATATTATGGGAATTGGCGGGAAATGATTGAAGCCAAACACCGGCTCCAAAGGGCAATACTAGTCAATCGGATCGTTTGTTTGATTCCATTGAAAATATGGCTGCTGTAAATATTGAGCGAAATCCAAGCAAAAACAAACACACATACAGAGAGGGAGAGAGCGAATGAATTTTCATTCTGTTAACTAGCAAACTGCCTGGGTCTGCTAGCTGTTGTTTATATGTATGTTTTACAAATATAATCGGATTTTGCTGGTGAATACCAGGAAAAAAGGCATCCACCACAGAATCATACACGCGCGTATGTTGATGTTCACATCATTTTGGGGGGGCCTTTCGCCTCACAAACATAAGTCGACACACAGTGAGTGAAGCGAAAGGAAAAGTAAATCGAGCACTCTACATGCGCCTCGTCAACATTTGAAATGAATGTACTTCCTCTCATTTCTTGCACGAAACATTTCAATTATGTACTTCTCAATGTCGCCTTTTGACCATTTCCTGGCTCGTTTGTAAACACTCATGTAAATGAATGCAGGCATAACCGTAGCAAAACCATATTTGTTGTTTTATTTGCCATTGTCAAAATCGGAAACACTGTGATCAATTTCACCGGGGTGGGGTGTGTGGTGTGTGGTGCAGCAATTGTTGTCAGCCCTGACACACACATACACACACGCACCCATATCACTCTATACGACGATGCACCAAGAGAGAAAGAGGCTGATTCAGCCCGTCGCTGGCGTCAATTCGTACCATGCATTCAGATGTGAAGAACAATGCATGAGAAGCGCTTAGAAAACATTTCATATGCATCGTATTCTACCATTCTTTGCAAGATTAAAATGTTGCACACTCTTTACAATCTCTTGCTTATGCATCGCCGAAAAGTACATCGACGAACGACTGATAAATACACATATATAGTGGCTGGCACGGCTCAGCATACCATACCATACCACCATCAACGTGAAGACATGTAAAATTTCGGATTATAGCACTGTAAAACTTTTGATTGTAAACTAACTGGCATAAAGGAAATTATAACAATAATAATAATTGAAATGTTGTGTTACATCTATACCATACCACACAGTAAATGCAGGGTGCGAGCCTACCAAAATTGTGCCTATGCTGAGCGCTTGAGTTTATGTCTGTAAACAATGCATTAAATTGCCACCACAAACACAGATATTTTCACAGAATTTCGGAGCGACGCACATGCCAAGAGGAGAGTGAAAGAGCTCGAGTGAGTGAGAAAACACACCAAGAGAATGGAACAGCATATTGTCGTCTCCTTTTCGAAATTAAAGCACTTGTTGTTTGTTTGTTTGTTTGTTTGTTCGTTCGTCTCAGCCAAAACTCGAAATGGCAATAAGCTCACTATCATGCCCAGTGAGCATTGCTAACACCATACCTGATCCATTTTCCAAAATTTAAATCGTATAATTTGCACTAAAGTGATTTATTATATTTATTTAAATCATTATGCTAACTTTGGCCATCTTGAGAGCCGAACGGATGTATAGATTTTAAATTGGACGACCACCAAAAAGCATTGTACAACGTACTGAGCAAACAAGCAAGCCGTTTATCTGAAATGGGTTACCTTATGGCTTAGTATTTTGCATATCATAATCGAAAAGACATGATAAAAACCGCACACTTTTATCATGTGATATTTAAATCGATGCTTGTACGAGTACATCCCAATGTTAAAGTTCTAATCAAATAAAACGAAGTTATTGACTGAAAACAAAAAGGTTTTTTCATAGACAAATATATTCCGTCGTTATCGAAGATAAAGCATCAAATGAAGTTTCCACAAAAAGCTTGACTAACTAAGCCAAAGAACATGCTATAAAGTTTTGACGACGAAAAATGCTTTTGAAGGGTTTTTTCGTGCTATAAATGGTTCATGCATCGAATAATCTTGAGAAGCCATTTATTTGTGGACGGCAAATAAATCGAAATTGTTGGCTATATTATTTTAAATTTTCGATTTTCTGCACATGACTCGCCAGTATGCATAAAAATTACGAAAATCGGCCGCCGACGTCTTGTTCGATTTCAGAGTTAAAAAAGCAATAACAAAACACTTGATAATAGCATTATCTTTTAATCATTTATTAGATAAGTAATAAGTATGCTGCCAAAATGCAAAGAAAACAGCTTTCTTCACACAAATTGCTTGCAAAATGGTTTTTTTCCTGCACAGCTCAATACTGCGATTGTGAATTAAATATAATTTTAATCACATTCAATGAACAAAATGTCCAGTTTGTTCAATGTCTTTACACTGTTTCCTGTTGTTTTATTCTTCATTATTTTTAGATAAAATGATAGAACCAAGATTCCTAAGATTGCTCTAAAATATCATTCATTCATTGCATTTCCAGGCAATTAGGATAAAACACGATGTAGTCGCTCAATTTGATCGACCTCAGCCCATGCACGGCGCACCAAACCGAATAACTGAAATTCATTATTTTTTGTCATATTAATATTTGTAATTGATTTGTTGTGTTGTGTTTTTGCTCTATAAAAAGATATACCTCTGATAGCCAAGCTTCATCGGCTAGTAGTTCGTTGAGGATGACGGTAGTGCCTTTTGTTGGATCTTGTTGATTGAGTTCTGCCACTTTTTTCGAGCACTGCATGAACATTAAATACTTCTGGTGTGAAATTTTATGCAATAGTTCGCATCGCACTACACAAAGACTTCGGCACAATAATAAATCCTGTTCAAAAGACACATATGTTGGTTAATTGTTGGGAAATAGTACAAATGTTTCGAGATTCAATGAAAAATTCAGTTGTAAAAGTGTCATTGATTCTCGTTCATTTTTTTAAATCTTCAGTACTTTATCAAATGAATATCGGCCGTCGAGCTGGGTCGGTCCAATCGTGTTTTGATTGTATGGTTGACCGTACAAAACCACCCTGGATACAATGTTTCGTTTGTTGCATGCCACACAGATTATTTGACCGTTGTTCGTGACCCCTAAATCGTTGATAACATTGTAACAAGGCCATATTTCAATTGAATGCAAAATTCTAGTCGGCCAAGCCATCGTATTTCGAAGTCTCATTTTCCGCCCGGATGTAAGGTCGTCAATTGTTTTTACATTTGAGAGGAAGTATTCGTCTATAATTTAAAGAAAAATTCGGATAATATATATGGGTTCGATGCAAATTGAAACGAAAATTGTATGTGTATGTACCTTGTTCTTGATGAATTTCGGTGAGAAAATTTGAATCAAGTGCTTGTGAGATGAGTGCTTGAATGTAAACTTCGAATTGATCTTGGAGTGAGGTGAACGCCTCTTGCATTACTTTTTCAATGTACATTTCTGATGTGGCCGCACAAAGTTCACTGCGCTGCAGCTCAACGTGCATCTCATGTTGCAATTGTCCAATGTGAATGCATTTCACTGAAATGTATGAACGACAGCTCTCCGGGCTCCACTGTGCGTACTAAATATGAATGGAAAATATATACAATTTTGGTGAGGTGCGTAAATTCTCGTACACAGCCCCAGTACGAATGTGTAACGACGCTGTTTCACGTATGGCTATTGTGCATAAATTATACAAACTTAAATATGGTGAGCACCGACTTTCCGACGTGTATAATCATTTGTGCCACGCCAATGGATTCGCCTGCACGAAACTTAATAATTCATTTTGAAATACTTACCGTCGATAGACTTCGATAAATCGTTTTATTATTGCTGTGAAACGGTTCGAATTTCTGTAGCAATGTAGTGCTGTCCACACGCCAAATTGCCGGCCAATCTAGAAACGCATCTTGTCGACTCACAATGAAATCACCGGTTTGGAATTCGTCTGGATTATTGCTCGTTCCGTAATTTTGTTGGGCACCCGATGAGTTCGAATTAGAATATTCAATATTGCTTGCATTCGTGGTTCCTACATAATCTCGAAACGTTCGAGTTTGGAATTAGGTCAATTAGAGTTAAAGAAATTTTCGAAGGGAAAAAATGCATCATTCAAATATGGTGAAAATTTCTTCGGGAATCGAGTTGAGCTCAAATTGCTATTACAATTGAGATAGTACGAAAATGTGCGTGCATCGGAATAATAAATACATATGTGTCGATTTGGTCTGTGGGATTGCCCTTGGGGATTGGGTGGTGTTGAAGCAAATGCGAGAACGTACAGATTTTTACTATCTAATCATGAATCGCAGTTTCATTTGCTGTTCCGTGAAGTTGATCCTCGTGGAATTTGCAGAAACGAGTATTTGGATTTGAATCATTCTTCCCAGGATAACCTCCCAGGATACACAGCAAAACATTTGAGTGTAAAGTGTACTCTTGAGTTAGGTTAATATAGCGGTTTCAACTATTTTAGGAGAATTTACACCGAATTTTGGGTAAAATGAGTTGTTTTCTATGCGTCTGTCCGAATGGCTACTGTTCATGTACGCACTAATACATTGGCATGCACTGGTGCCAAGTCTGTGAGTTTGTATATATTGTATAACCCGTTGAGTACAAAATTTACAATACATACAAGCTCACAGACTCGGCACCAGTGCGTGCCAATGTATTAGTGCGTACATGAACAGTAGCCATTCGGACAGACGCATAGAAAACAACTCATTTTACCCAAAATTCGGTGTAAATTCTCCAAAAATAGTTGAAACCGCTATATTAACCTAACTCAAGAGTACACTTTGCACTCAAATGTTTTGCTGTGTAGTTTTGACATTTTTTTAATCAATCAAGCACTAAACTCAAATGGTCGGTGTAATGAGATCCTAGCAAAAAAAACGATATTCAAAAATAGAGTACTGCACTAGCGCATAAATACACCAACACTGGAGACAGGTTAAATATATTCTGTTTGGCAACCATATAAATTCAGAGCTCTTTGGGAGTAGAACTGATTGGTATTATTTAAAACCCTCGTAAATTGTTTGTTTTCGTCCAAAAGTAGTCACATAGGAAAAGGATATAAGAACGATTTGAATATGCTTACGGCACTTTTTCCAAGCTACACGATTCATATCGTGAGATTTGCAGAAAAATCAGATTTCAACATAATGGCGTAATGTTTTATCACTTAAAATTGTGTTACCTGCATATGTATTTGATTTGACGGTGCCGCGTTTTGTGTTCGATCTTGCATTGCTGTTTCGTGTTTTTCGTGTATTTTTGCGACGCGGCATATCGTCATCATCATCGTCTTCCTAAATTGTATTGAATTTAAGGTGAATTTATGTAAATCTGATTCATAGTTCATTGGAAACAACCTTATTCGGTGTCCACGCCGGATCCGAGTCTGAATCGACAAATTCGGGCGGTTCGTCCAGGTCATCATTTTGATTGTCCGAACCGAGTGTTTGCTTTTGTAATGCGTTCTGAATGCTTCGGCCCTTTGCCTTGCGATGTGATGTTTCGCGACGTTGAGGTACAGTTAGTGGATCTATGCATGAAAATAACGTTTACAATTAACCACTATTATTGTGCTAATGCATCTGATTCAAAAGTATGGCTGAGATTTCATCTCAAATTTGGTGATACCAAACTTCCTTTCTCGTAATAGTCTATGCTATCTTAACGTGTTAGTTGTGCTGTCCGATTAGTTTGAGTATATACGCTATGTGTTAGTGCCACAGTCCGAGTCATTCATTGTATTGGATTTTGTTTTTGTTTTTTTGCTTGAAGTTACATGGTTTTAATACTTACCATAAATTTCGTAACAAAGATGTATTTTATTTCAAATAAAAATTAAATCATGCTAAAGACAGAGGTGGTGATTTGTATGCACAGGACTAGACTAAGAGATTGACTGCGTGAGTTGTGACTAAAATTAAAAAAAACTAATTGACAAATACATTTCGTATAGTACAAATAAAAGAATCGAAACAATTTGTGTTTTAATCAATTATTTGCAATTGTTTATTTGTTTCATTTTTTTAAAGGTTTTTTGTTGTTGTTTGTTTGTTCCTATTCATTTTTTTTCCGTTTTGCAAGATTGATCGTGTGTGGTATTTTGAAATTTCTTCAATAATTTGTTTTATATGCATAACTTAAATACTTTTGATATCAGATTGAAACTTAGCATTTTTACTAAATTGAAAAAAGTGAATTGTAATGCCTTTTGGATAAACAAAGACTCACTCACATTTGTTTTTTCTTCTCATTTTTTGTTTGTTTACATTGCGTATTGTAAAATTAGAAATAAAAAATATTTACAAAATTTTATTTCCGCTTGTTTTGCTTTAAATTCTTTCCGTGAGGAAACACATATATTAAGCTTACAAATTTCATGATTTCAACCGTGTTTGAGCTAACGACTTAAGGACAACACTGCCATCAGAGGATTTAAAAAATTTGATTATTGAAAAATTGCTCTCAAAATCGTTGAAAAGATATTGGCATGCCTTCGTTATATTTTTCTTTTCAAACTGAATATTGATATTGATTTTGTTTGCTTACATATATATTTTATCAAAGCGACTTTTCTCTTGATTTATAGTCCACCGAATTTTATCATCGAATCATTTGTTTATCGTCTTGCAAATCAATAGACATCAACATACCATACAATGGTTTGTACATCTCTTTTTAAATGTACATTGCCACCACTACGGTATAATGCACAGTCTATTTTGCAACTTTTTGCGTAATGAAAATTTTGAAAAGAACCCTTGATTTGTTTTCATTTGAAAGATTTGGAATTGGCACTCAAATGCACCAGATGCGAATGTGAACATGGAAATAACGTTCTAATTAATACACATTTGAAAATTTGAAATCTACAAAACAAAACTTATCATTATTTTAGTACGAAATTTTGTAATTCAAATGAAGTTCACTAAAACAATTGCTTGGCTCGCTTTGTTTTTATTTTCCAATAAAAGAGAAATGAAGAGAAAAAATTCGAAGCAATAGTCATGGAATGGTTATGATCAAACGTTCTGTTCGGAATGTTCGAAGCACGCAAAATATTCAGCGAATTAATTTGATTTCTATTTTGTCTCCGTTTAGAAAGCCAAAAGAGATAGATATCGATAATCTCAATAGCCAAACAACTAAATTTTACACACAATTTGAAGTCTTCAACATAATTTTGCTACATCCAATTCGATGAGCCTGAATGACTAGTTATGCATAGAACAATTGATAATGAAAACATGCATCGTGAGTTGGTTGTGTCAAGTGCTTTTTTCCGTTGGCCTTTTTTTAAGAGAAAAGGAATGATTCAAAATTCGTGGAATTCGAACAATTTTTCTGGTCACAAAATCATAACACAACTATATAAATGTCTATAGCTCGTAGCACTGTGTAAATTGTACTAGACTTTGGGTGTTACAGACATAAAATCCACTTTGAAAAAGTGAACATTTTAAATTTTAAATAAAAACAATGTTAATAAACCTACACGATTTCGTAGTGCAAATAAATCCATGTCGGTATGGTTGGTTTATTTTGTACAATTTTACGAGACATGCATGCCATTGTTATAGCATTGTTTGTAAAATTAGCCAATATATTCTCGAAGGAATCGGCCAATGCTTCTCGTGCTCCAAATTGATTTGGTTTTGTCCAATTTTCCATTCGTCAAGTATATACACAAAATGTGTTTGCCATGCAAACGATCTGATATTACATTTAATTACGGAGACGTTTCGGTCAACCGACAGATTGGTTGCTCATACGGAATTTTTGATAACACCACCATTGTCACTCAACTATAGCTGACATAAAATTACTAGTTTGCTTTTTTACTTTACAATCAAATATCAAAATTCATGGGCAGTCACATTAACTGCAGCACTGAACTCACGTGCAATCAGCGACGGCGGAAATTGGCTGTCTCTTAAAAATGCTTATTGAGTTTTTAAATTAAATTTTGCCTGTCATTTGATTGCGAGAAAACAACTCATCATTATAGAAATTTAAAAAAAAAATTGTTGTGGTATAAACAAACAGTTACGAGTAGTATGAAAAATCTCTGGCTAGTTAGTCCTTGCTACAGTCGATGGTCGTAATAAGTTACAGAACAAAATACAGTTTCACCACTTCTGTCTTCGCAAATAGTCAAAATAACTACTGAACGAGGATGTACCTTCATTATCTTGCGGATAGTACATTTGCTGTTGGCTTAAAATTTGCGATGTGCCCGCGACCAGCTGATGAGCCGGAGTGGCATGTTGTTGCATCAGCAGCTGTGGATTCTGCTGTAAACTATGTGGATTGTTCTGTTGCAGAGACAACGCATGATTCGATGTTTGTTGTGAAGACAGAAGCGAATTGTTGTGGCTGGACTGTGTTGTTCGTGCTTTTTTTGCAGCATTGATTGGAACTTGGGGCGCCCGGTCAATCACCGGTTGCTGTGATTGCTTTTTACTATTTCGGTTTGTGACCGGTTTATTATTTGAACTGTCGGAGGCGTCGTCATCGTCATCGGCGCTTCGCTTTCGATCGTATATGCTGCCGCCCATCATGTTGTTGTGCACATTCATGCCGTTGCTCATTTGATTTTTTGCTTGAGCATTGTTTCCCGCTGCCGGGGACTGATTTGTGACCGGTTGATTTGTTGTAGCTCTTGACCACGTTTTGCGACCTCCACCCGAGCCCCTGTTCATTGGGGGCGGTGAAGTGTCCCGTTCACCTTGTAAGAATTTCAAGTAGCTCGCCATAAAACCCGACCCAGGGCCCGTTGGCGTGGGAAATTTTTTGTCAGTCAATGGAGTCGCTTTCTGCTGGTTCATTGGATTCGAAGAGCTTGACTGTGATTGGTTTGTATTTTGGTTGTTCGCGTGCGAATGGTGCTGCAGATGCTGTTGATTCGATTGGTTGTGATGTGACAGTGAGTTGCTTGTTGTGCCCAGCAGAGTTAAATGATTTTGTGTGGCGGCGGCAGCGGTGGATGATGCTTGAAGTGACATTTGTGCAGATGCCTGCTGTATGCTCCCACTTCGGCTATTCTCTGCAAGAAATCCAAGTTCTTCCTCAATATTCGGTACTACAACTTTTGGCGGCTCGTCTTCGCGTATCTCAGAAGCGGTGGGGGAGTAATTGGACGACACACTTGGCGTACCAAGGCTATCATTGTACGGAATATTGGCGACCATTGGAATCGAATTCAAATTCAGGTCGTTCGAATAGTCGCCAATTCCGGTGAGGGGCATGGAAAAGGATGGGAAATAGGGATGATGGGAGATGGCATGATGATGTGAGGGATGTGAAATCATTGTGCTATTGTGACTGTGAATGTTATTGAAAGAGCAAGTGGTTGAGCCGTTCATTGATTGCTGGTTTGGTATGTGGGCTGGCGGAGGAATACGTTCGTTCACATAATATTCAGAACAAGTAGAAGGAGACGGTAGTTTTTCGCAAGAGTCCGCTCGATCGTTTATTTTCTTCTTTCGGCCAGGTCTCGCTTTGGGCCCATCATTTTGTTTGTTTTTATCGTTCGAAATTGACGATGTTTGACGTGGCTGCCTCGACCGCTGATTCAGGGCGTAATCGGTTTGTTCATGCATTTGTTGTGCCGAGTCGTTTATTTTTTGAGCTGCTAGATTGCTTTGATTTTGATGGGATTGGGCCGATTGAGAACTGTCAAAATGACTGCTTTGTTGCGAATGCACCGAATGCACCGGTGAAATCTGGTGCAGTTTGGTTATTTGGGCGGGTGTATAAATTTGATTCGCATTGTTTTGCAACGAACTCTGATTGCGGTCGTCAACGCCGCCACCACCACCACCACCATCCCAATTTGACGGATGGGCAGCTCTTTGAATCACAGACGAATAAGCAACTACATTGGAACAATTGGATTTAGACGAGGTTCTTGAGGTGCTCGCATCGATTGGCGACTGCGAAGGGTTCATTGACGGACTGTTGTACATCGGATAAGCTGGACTTGGTACAGTGCTTAGAGGCGAAGACTGTGAATTGATTTGATGCGGGCTCGGTCGGCGCGGTATCACAATATGAGAACAATCGGTCGGATGTGAATTCGTTATCGAATTCGCACTCGCACTCGGCGAAATGGTTGAGGCACTATCGTGTTGAAACTCTTGCTTGAGCAACGGCGTCGTCGATAGCTTCCTCACCGACGAAGCATTTCGACTGGCACTATGACTATTAATATTATGATTATTATTGCTACCACTATACGCTACTTGATTCTCTAACATGGAAAAGCTTATAGGTGAAGATTGTATCACATTGTTTTCGTGTATGGCGGACGCTTGACCTTGACCATGACCATGACCATGAACGATGTGATTATGATTGAGTGATTGAGTAGCGCCAATCGACGAATTTTGTACGATCGCCTTAAGTGCGGCCTTCGTTTGCACTTGATTCACAGACGAATTAGTTAATTTGTGCAATGCGGCTGATGAAGCAAAATTATTCGAGGCAATCACCGGCGAATTCGACCGTTCAGATTTCACACGCGACGAAATATGATGAGAGGAATTGGAATATTCTTTACTTATAGAAGAAGTAGAAGGATCTGAAGATGAATTGAGTTGCGAAGACGAACTGATGCCAGTACTGCTCACAGAAAAACTTGACTTACTTCCACTTATCGCCTGCTGATTACTGTTATTGCTGTAGCTGCTAAAAGAAATCCCAAAACAAATTGCGTTAGTCGATTACAATCAAAACTAAGCTACACCAGACACCACTTCGTTCACTCACCTGTGCTGTTGAGCTTGCTGATGTTGCAATTGCTCTTGCTGACTTATCGACTTTGAATTCGCAAAGCTAGACTGCAGATTTTGATACGTTGACGGCGTTTGATAATAACCACTATGATCGAAAAATGTTGATTTGAACGGTATAAACACATATTTGGTTAAAGTTTTTTTTATTTTTACAATTCAGCCTACAGTGATTGATCGGTTGCCCGCCCATCGTTCCCTTACACGTAAAAATCATGTATCACTTGTATCGTGTTCGGGAATTGAAACTTCGGACCAATTATAATACTTTCTACTCTGCGTTCAATATGATCTTTAAGGTTGAAATGAATTTTGAAGGCATACCTAGACGCAGATGTGGATGCGATATTTTGTTGTTTGATTTGCTGTTGCGATTGCTGCTGTTGTTGCTGAGGGGACATCGATCGTGCCGTTGACGAAGATTTTATTATGGCATTTGCTTGGTTCAGGGGCTGTTTGAAAATAGGGCAAAAAATATGATAATTTTCAATATAAGAAGGGGCGAATAAGGGTTTGCCTATGACATACCTGGGGAAAGTGTGCGTTAAATGATTCATAAACACCCGTCGAACTGCCCGATGATGATGAGTGTTTCGTTGCCGCTGCTGCCGTCGACGGCGCCGGACTGGAGGATACATTTTCATGTGGTAAAATTCCAAATGCACTGGGCAATTGATTATTTGAATTAAGATCGCCTTGACTTCGAAGCGTCGTGAAATCGGATTGTCCACCTCGGGCTTGCCAACCGAGTGCGGCCGCCACAGCCGAACCACCTGGCTGCTCAAAATACGATCCAGTCTGTGGGGTACTTATCGACGAATGGTGTTGTGTATAATTCTCTCGAATTATGTCCGAATCTGTTGTCTGCTTTGTGACTGCTGCCTGGGCAGCCAGCACTTGTTGCCGATGCTGTGCGGCCGCATTTATTGTATTGAAATGGGCCGGTTTTGGATTCGCATGATGGAACAGAGGTGAGAAGACGTCGTATGAAGGCGCTGATAAAAACGACGATGGAGTTGCTAGAAATTCATTGGAAACGAATCCAAGGTTAGTGCATTTTTCACCAAGAAGCATAGAATAGGCGAAAATTCTTACGGAATGACGCAGTTGATGCTCCCAATGGTGTTGAGTGTGCGGCCTGTAACAACAACTGTGATGTTGTTGATGGTACGGCACTAACTGATGACGCATGACCACCGGTTAAAGCACTGTTATTCGCAGCCTTCAATGAAAAATGGGCACGAAACGTTCAGAAAAAAAACATGTCACAACATTGAAGAAATCATAAAACAAGAAGCTACCAATATTTGTTACTTCGTTTGGACCATTTACCTGAGCGAAATGGTGATGAAGATCACCGGATGTAGCACCTTGTGCTGCGAGTCGATTATACGTGTACTGCCATGGCACAGCTGGATCCATGATTTATTTAACTGATTTACGATGAAAGAATATGCTCCACTGAGTATGAAATTCGATACGAAATACTTGGCGGTACAATCGAACGAAAATTCATGGGAGTAAAGCTGTATTCATATCTTTTACTTTATCAAATCTATGAGAATAATTCGAAAAGAACAACGGATGGTTCGCTTCAATTTGGATACAGTGGGATGCGACGTCCTTTTGCCGCATAGATGTTGTTTTTTTCTTCGAAATACCTTAACTTCTCTTCGCTTCAAGTATTAAAACACGCTAAATTGCTTGATTCGATCTGAATATAATGTTTGGTTTTGTTTCGCTAGCGGATTTGTTCAATTTAAATTGACGTTTATTTTCTGAAAATAGAATGAAAATAAAAATAGAAATGAAATATATTTTTTGACAAGAGGGCGAGGATTACAAGTGAAGAATCAACACAAAAGTCTTCCAAGTTAGCTTTCAAGAAAAATGGGTTCATTGAACAAGCAAGAAATGTGATGAATTTTAATAATCAAAACAGCTACATATATGCAATGATGTCAGCTTAATGAGCATAGATTAGCGCGTGCTCTTACACGCAGATGAATTCAAATCGCCATTCTTAACCATGACATAATAATAATACTAGGGGATTCATGCCAAATTTTATTTAGCAAAATCTATTTGTATTATTTAAATCATGTAAAATTCACGCTAGATTTCAAATATTTTGTATTATTTCCCGAATGCGTTGTTATTGTTCATATTCACCTTGAACAATATGTTCTGGAAGTGGGTTTTGGTGGATCTTCAGGATGGATCAGACTGGGTTTGACAATGCCCTGGCCCATCCTGAGGATCCACTTCCAGAACCAGGAGCGGTTTTGAACAATCCACAGGATCCACCAAAACCCATTTCCAGAATTTTTGAAGCGATAATGACGTCAACAGATTGGACATGGTTCTGCTGACAGTCGGTTTATTGAACAAAATTGAGCAAAATTGAAATTATGCATACATATCTGTTTAATATGTTGAAACATAAACCAATTCATATTATTTGTTCATATTTTAAATATGGAAATTGGCGTGAGTCCCCTAGTAATAATAAGGCATTGTGAGCATTACGCATTGGGAATTACGCATGTTGCACATTTTTACAAATGAATCTTTAGATTCGGTTGATACTGTTGTAGGCGGAAATTTTATTCTTGAATTTGAGCCTCCCGATGAAGATGGGAACGATGATGAGAAATTGAATTAGAGAAGCTCCAAGTTGCACAAAAGGTAGGATATAAAATCTTTATTATGAGGTTGTCATGCGAACAGACAATATATTCAACAGCAACTCATACTCGCATCGTTACCATATTGTTTGTGGCTCACGAACGAATCAACCAGAGCGACATGAAATTGCAATACACTTTTATCGAGTTCGCATATTTCAACGGTTAGTTAAGTGGTGGAATGTCGTGTATTGTTTTCCTTTCGTCTTTTCAGGAGGTGGGGAGAGGGTAGGTAAACTTATTAAACTTTACGTTAACTCAATCGAATATACACACGCGCACAAAAACAAATTAATTTATAACAGCCCTGGTGTAACTATCAATTCGAATTGGCTTACATTTTGTATTAATACACGAAATATTTAATTGATTTTGCGCAAATGGAAATGGAAATGAATTGCTTAGCAAAAGTATCGACCGTACACTGTGCTTTGTGTGTTGAATTTTTACCAGCATCTCTACTTGTAATGTAGTTCAAATGGCTGATAATGTAGCTCATTTATCTAAATTGTTTGACGAAAAAAAAACATTTACTTTAAACACATGCCCATTACTGACTAGCCACCGTTAGCCTGTCCATAAAAAAAATACAAAAACAATGGCATGAAAACATGGAACAACAATGTTTTGACATTTGCTGACGATGACGTCGATTCCAATGGTAACGACAAACAATTGAGGAACAGAAATATTCTGGTATTTTTTTTCTACATTTCAAAATATCCAGAACAATTGGTATGGATACACAAAAATAATCAATTGGTCTGTATGTGCTGAATTGTAAATTTAATCACATGTGAACGAATTCGCATGTGATTTGCCGGGCGAAAAAAAATATTCACAAAATAAACAGTATGTTCCACAGGAAATATATACACTCTTTCTTCACCTAAATTTACACACGTGTGTACACGAATTATCAGATAATCTTTGCATTTAAATCAGTTCGCTTGAGTTAGAGATAACATTCCGAAAGAGTTCACGGTTCGCGCACTCACAAAATTGGGCGCAATACATGCGAAGACAAATGCTGTTCAGTCCGTAGCACTCGTCTCGTTTCGTCAGGTTGAAATCAGAGGTAGAGAGCACAATTGCTTTGGGTAATAAATGAGAAAGAGTTGGAATTCCCATTCCCGTGCGTTTGATCCAAATCGATTAAATACAGACAAACTTATGACGTTTTTTTTTTCTTAGTCCAATATTTGTTTGCGAGACATAACACTTGCTACAACTGTTCTATTGCTTGTTTCTAATGATGTTCTTTGCCAATCATATTTGCACAAATATATTTTGTACCACGTATTGAAATGAAAATGTATTTTTTGAAGCCGATGCAATCCATGTATTGACTGACGAAATATTGATGCTGTCGATTAATTATGCGATAATCAAAACAACATTTCGATTTGGTTTTGCTCTTCTTTTTTGGTATTTTTTCCTTCGTTGTTCGTCACAAACCCGATTCATATATGTGTATCAACGATAGAACGAGTGAGAGAGAGAGAATAAAAAGAAACACCACTAATTTCAATTGCTGCTTTGAAAAATTTATGAGCAGAATTGAATCAAAATACTTGTCGCTCTTGTGTTTTGATCCCTTTGATTTAGCAAATAATGAAAGCAATCGTTTCTATCTGATTTTTCTTAATTCGATTCAATAAAACTTAAGACCACCTCGAATTACACCAAAAAACTGCAAACCATTTTAATTTACACACTTCTTTTTCTATTTGCACAATTTTTTTTTACAAATACAACAACACACAAAATATACTGAAACTCTAAACTATCGTCTCGCCTTTCACATTCATTGCGGCCATTTTGATTTTTTGTGTGTCGAGAGATGAATCGAAACAAAATCGAGAAAAAGAAGAAGAGGCAACAACATCGGCTATCATGGAATAGCGTATGAAATGTGTGCGATAAGGATAGATTGATCTATTAACAAAAGAGACATGTCAAAAGCAACGGCGCTGACAACGCTACAATGAACGAGACAGAAATACATAATTAAGAATATAGTCATTGATACAGAGCAGCAGCAGCAGCTTAGATGATGTACGCGTATGTATGTGTGTATGTTTCGGTGTCGGTAGGAGTTGTTAGGCACATCAATTGGACGGTATTTGTGTTGATGTGCCTGTTTTTGTTGTGCTTTTTGCGTTTAAAGTCATTCTGCGTTTACCATAAATGAATGTACGTCATTTTTCGAATGCCGCCACCGACATTAAACGCATACATCCGATCAACGAACCTCATTGCTGAAAATGCTTCGGCAAATATTTTTGCCACTAATAGTTCGACGGAGTTGTTGCTATTTTTTACATCTTGGACTAAATGCCTACATTTTGTTTGTTCAAATGTAAATTTGGATTTGATTTCGAATAAAAAAAATTGTTGGGATTGAAACGCACTCGAAGTGCGTTCAAGCGTCAAATTATTTCAAGCCGATGAGTAGTTTTTTTTTCATGGAATTATTTCTACCATAGTTTGTCATCTCGATTGGTATTTGAAATAGCAAATAATTAAAAATAATTCCGGGATTCGAATTTTGCATGCAAAACTCAATGGTTAAATACTGCATTTAAAAACAAGACGAATTCATGTATGCAAAAGTAGTAAACAACGAAAAATTCATTGCTAGTTTCTCTCACAGACTCTCACACACCGACAAACAAACACACGCAGCGAATTCATCAAACATCAATATGTAAATAGAGAATGCTATGGGCGAGAAAGAGCGCATCGTATACACCACGTCCATACACGAACGAGGCAAGTGAAGGAGAAAGCGAACGACATTCGAACCAACTTCAAATCAATCTCGCTCGATGGTGCTGAAAATGTCAGAGAGCATTGAAACTTAACAATTTAGACTCTACATCCAAATCACAATATTTTTGCGAGGTGTACAACTTTAATCGTATTCAACAAAAAAAATTGTACGTTCCATGGTTGCGGTGGTGTGAATAAATTTCAATTAAATAAAAAAAACTGAATAGAAAATCTAATCGTTGCATTTTCAATTTGGCGTTTTTTTTTCTTTCGTATAAATTTTTCCACCATCTCATTCACTCACTCACTCTCTGTATCGCTCAATTCGATACGACAATGTTGAAATTTGATGAAAAAAAGAATCATTCATATTATTTAAACTGAAAAACGGGAGAGAAAATTTTTATTTATTATATATGGATTTGTTGAAATAGAAAGCGAGCACACAGCTTAACTGCAATGAGCGGAAAATCGAACCGTAAGCCCAATTTTTATTGTATAAATATGACGATAAAACCATGTAGAAGTAGATGTAAGAAGCAAGGGGGAAAAATTAGAGTAAGACGAGAGATGACACAGGAACAACACTGGTTGAAGGCGAAAGAGAAAATTTTAAGAAGCTTATTTTACGCTTGCTGTGAACACCACGGAACCAAATCTACGATGTGGTGATACATTCAAATTGTTTGTGAAAAATGGACAACATGAAAATTAAAAAAATGGTCGTTAATGAGTGATTGAACACAGTGAATGAATGTGGTTGCGTGAAATCCAATGATTGTTGGCGGTGATCATCTAAATCGTGGCCAAACCAATCAAAATTTCCCCAAATCCAAACCAAACGCGGAAAATGTTCACAAATGAAATTGAACGGAAAAATAGTGGTAGAACCAAAACATAGAATTAACTTGTTATAATTACATGTTGAAGCACGCATTCATAAATTATAACTTGAAAATATCCAGTGTGCGCTCATTCGCCTGAAACGGCAAAGTTATTCCTGTGTCTAGTTTATTCGTCAACATGAAATGTTAGATAGAATTCGTAACAGCTAATCAACAACATTATCTATGGGTTCAATGTGAATGTGAAATTAGAATCAGTGTTTGGCCTAACTGTTGATATGTTCTGATCATTGTCAAATTGGTTAAATTGTCTAATTAGCAGGAATGGCGTTCAGCGCAAGTGATGTAACAATGCCGAACTGTAGTGGTGGTGGCAACAACAGCAGTGGTTGCAGCTTGTCCAAGGGCAGTGGTTCCACCGAACGCAATAAAAAATGGCAAATGGAATTGCTGATGGAGCGTTTGCGTTCGAAGTCCGCACAATACAAACCGCTACAAGATACATCGAGAAACATACGCCTTGCCATGCTCGAAAAGCGGTATGCCTTGGACATGGTGGAAAAATCCAATTTACAAAAGTGTTTGGATCGCATGCAATACTGCATCAAAGTGACAACGCGTCAAGGTTTAGTGGAGCGATTAGAAAGTCTATCACGTCAATTGGGCCTTAAATTTTCCGATGACAATCTCAATTTATTCATATCGTCGGACATGTTTTATTTGGAAATTATACTGGATAGCCAAGGGAAAGTGCATGACGTCAAAGTGCATCATGAATTTAAAATGGAGCAACAATCGTGCCAGGAGCTAGTGAGCTGTTTGCTAAAGGGTGACTTTGCCGATTTTACCGCTCAACTCGAGGGATTGACATCGATTTATCAGCTAAATGCCGATAAAAAGACGAAAAGCAATGCCTTCGTTGCACTTCAAGCCCTCGAAAGTGACCTGCAAACCTTGTATTCGTTGTACGCAAATAACAAAGATCCATATGTGTTAGTGAAATCATCCGTTGGCATTTTGCAACCACGACGAGGTGGTCATCCCATGCGTCTTACCTACTTCGTATCACCCTATCAATTGTTAGATGCTGAAAATAGCACACTTCGGCCGCTAACCGTGGATCTAGTGCATGCTCAAAGTTCAATTGGCCTAAGTGTGACGGTGCATCTTGAGGCTGCCTCATCGAATAAACTCCAAATTACGCCGATTGTTAAAGTACAAGACGATGGCCAGGGGAATCGATTACCCGAATACAAACCAATCAGTGCTGACAATTCCATTATGTTGCCCGCATACTTTGTGCTGCGTCTCAATAAACCGATTGTAATCGGTGTGAATTTACTACGACAAATCGAGCAAATAACGCGCACCAAATTCCCCGACGAAATCATCTCAAAAGCAAGTCCAATTCTGAGCCTTATAGCATGTCACGGTAGTGACGGTCAAATCACAAACACATCAAAGGGTTTATTTGTTTCACTGCCCGACCAAACGCACTGCTACTTCTTAACGGAAAACTTTGATTTACCAGTAAGTTCGATGAAAGTTTCAACACAATTTAATTACAGTTAAATCGGTTGGAAAATCCTCTAAATGCTTATGTTTTCTTTTGTCTTTGCTGTACTCGTTTCAGGGTGTTGTCATAAAGAGTATTCCATTCACAGAGCCATCACAGGTTCCACAGATTTTACGCTTTCTCCGACAGCAATCTCTATTCAACACACTAATTACGAGCTGTATACGTACCTCCAATTATAAGTTCGGTTCGTGTTTCACATATTAATTTAAGGATAGCCAGTATTTATGAGGCTATCGAGTTAAAAAAATATGTGGAATTCATTTGATTTATTTGTTGTTTGTTGTGGATTTTTTTTTCAGATATAGAAAATACCAGCATGTTTGAAGTTAGTGTATTGTCGTGCCAACACATTTCAATTGCACTTGAGCATCCATTCATGGAGACAATGGCAACAATTGAGCTAGACTTAACGAATATACCAAACATAAAATGTAGCATTTTTTCATTGGATGGTAATTATAGTAACATTACGTCGGGATTGTCACGCATTCTACAGACCTGTGCATCGATACCCATAACAATTCGCATGTTGATCAAGTATTGGGAGCGGGAGCACTTGAATAAAGTGCGCGGTTTGGACAGCAGTTTGAGCTTATTTTGTAGCCAAGGAGGAAATCTTAGTGGTATGTTGGATTCTTACCTAAATACAAGCAATTAGTCCTGTTTTGCTAATGCGCCGAAAATCTTTGTTAATTTTTCAGCCAATAAAGGAGCTTTTAGTGATTTAGAAAATGGTACAATTAAAAATGGCGATGCGTCCAAACATAGAGGAGAATTGGGTGGCGAAAGACAACCTCAGCGTTCTGGCGATAATACTGCTGGCAGCAACGGCAGCGGTGATGGAAAATCTACAAAACGGCGACGATCCGAAGATTTCGATTTTTTTCAACGAAATGATCTCGCCTCAAAAGATATCAGCAAAGACATGTTTGCGAGGATTCAGCGAACAGACACAATAACAAAAGACGGTAAGCATTAACTACTCAAAACTTAATGGGACAATCAATAAAAATGTTATTTTCTTCAATTAACACTTTTCACAACAGTCAACAAACTATTGGATCCAACAACCGATGGTCTATTCAAATCGTCACAAAGATTGGGCGACGACTCGCTGAAAGATACATTTCGGACCTCATTGACAGATGACTCAAAAAACATAAAATTTGCAAAAACAAATGCAGATTGTGATAAAGTAAAAGTGAACAAATCCGATTCTTACGATCCGAACGGAAAGCGTCTAGATAGTAGCGGTTTGAGTGAACCGATAAAAAAGAAACAGAAGCGACCACGTGAAGAAAAATTGGCTGACGGCAGCTCAAGCTTGTCATCATCCGTTAGCATAACACCGATTGCTTCGATGCAATCTTCCTCCGTATCAACGTCATTATCGAGCACAGGTACCTTTGAATATTCTCCTAAAAAATTAGATGAATTTACTATGACCGTTTGTTTTTCATTTGAGCAGCTCAATCAACAACTGCATCCAGTTCAACGTCTTCGAATTTAAGTTCCGTGCTGGGCACTTCAGCACAAAACCTATCATCTGACCATTGGTCACAACAACAGCAGCAGCAGCAGCATCAGCATCAGCAGCAGCAACATCAACAACAACACCAACAACAGGTTAGTCATAGTTCATATTCAATCGAATGTTGTTGTAAAGAAAATGTTGTGTTAGCGAATAACATTCATTCGAACACAAAGAACACAGCCGTTCATGTAATTGTAGTTGAAAAATCGATATGAAAATTTGTCGCAATGCAAAAAACAAAAAGACAAAATCCGTAATCACAACAAAAACCAGTGTCTGTTTGAAAAGGAGAGAGAGGCCAATTGTTGAATAAAATCTCTTTTTCACATAAACGCAGCAACAACAGTCTATGTATCGCTTAGAGCGTAGGCCTGGCATTGAAATAATTCCGATATCTTCGCAGCCGACACAAAGCCTGAAATCGTCCATAACAATTACACCAATTAACTCAACGTCAAAAAACAGTAGTAGCGCTGGTGCGAGCGGTGAAAAGCGCACTGGCGCAAACAATGGAAACGAACACAGTAGCAGCAGTAATAGCAGTAGCAGCAAACGTTCCGATGGCCTATCATCGGACAGTGGCCGACTTAAGTTGGAAAAGAAGAAGAAACGTAAGCGCGAGGATAGCCCAATGGGACCACCCGAGAAGATGCCCGGTATGTGTTACAATTTTATGTGATTATCCATTATCTAGCAGTGAATTGATATCGATAATATACGGAATGAGTATCAGCAACAATTTTTATCATTGATATGAATCCGATTCTGAATCCAGATCCAAATCGATTTGAAATTTTGCCGCAATTTTTAAATGTATTTCGTTTTGCTTCAGTTACAGTCAGTATTAAAACATCTGATGGTTCACCGATATCGCCGTCTGGCCAACAATTGCTTCGAAAATTTAATTCGTCACCGGTGCTACAGCAATCTAGTAAAATTAGCCTAAGCAGCACATCGAGCAAAATTAGTCCAAAACATTCGCCACACAGTGGAAGCAGCAGTCATAGCAGTCCAAAACATCAAAGTTTACCAAGCCCCAAAGGGAATCATTACAGCACATCGTCACCGAAACATTCGAGCTCGGCTGGTTCGGGAAAACCAAGTATGTCTACACTCAAATCGGCAACCAGCTCACCAAACTCCAAGTCAAGCATCGGACCATCCGGTGAACGTGTTAAAACTTACTCATCCTCATCTGGCCGCGATAGACAGGTAATTTATTAGAATCAAGAACAGCAACGACAAAGTAAAAAAGAAAAATATTCGCACATACACAAACAGAAAAGACTGACTGAGCTCAAGATGTATATATATATATCATTCTTGAAAAGAAAATATTGTTCAAAATGCACCAAAATGTTAACTGTGTCGCTGAGAAAATAAAACGAAAGAAAATGTATTAAAAGCCAAATTTTTGTGTTATTGTTCACTTGATTGACCGAAAACAATGAGGAAAATTTTTATACACCAAAAGAGAGAGAGAGAGAGAGAGAGAGAGAGAGAGAGAGAGAGAGAGAGAAAGAGAAGGAGAAGAAAAGAGTGAAAAACAATCGACTTTTAAGTGTTATGTCCAAAATTGCGATAAAACAAATAAATTCCAATTTAGGCTATTGGTGGAAAAATTCTTTTGAGATTTTTTCGTTTGATATTTTATGCAAATTTGTGTATGTTTTCTTTGTCACATTTTAGGACCGTGAAAGAGATCGAGACCGAGACAAAGACCGTGATCGATATAAATATTCGTCGGGCAGTAATAGTCCGAAACTAAAGGTGCGAAACGTAAATGAACATGATCACCATCATCATCATCATCACCATCACTATTCGATAAATAATACTTGATCATAGATTTAAACATAACAAAAACAGATGGTGGATTCGAACATTTTGATGAAATTCCTAATTGTGTGTTAATTCATTAGGCAAAGATGGCCACATTCATCCCGATGGATAGTTTAATTGATGCATCGTCATCTAGCCAGGATTCAATCAAATCCTGTGGAAGCAGCCAAGCCAATAAAAATCGCAAAAGTTCACTAAGCGCTGTGATCGACAAATTGAAGTCAGCGCGACATGTGAACGATGAATCACCACCCAATACGCCAACACTTTCGACGCCACAACAGTCGATTGGTGCGGATGCAAACAGTGTGTCGTCTGCGTCGACTGGTCAAACAGTTAGCAAAGAAAAAAATGCATCAGCCAATACTCAATCTTTAAACTTGCCTAATGGTAAACCACATCGATACATCTATTTATTAGATGTCATTAAAAGCATACAAACTCATATTGTCGCCTCTTCATTGTATTTGCAGTTTCGGCGATATCAATAACTTCGGTGAAAAATAACAGTGAGTACATGGTCAAGCATAGTTCGGATGGCATGAAGATAACCATCAATAAAACGCGAACAAAAGACATGACTTCACCTTCGTCTAAACAAAACTATCAACACTCATCCAGTTCCAGTTCAAGTGGAAGCGGTTCGAATTCACCTAAAACGCATACTGGATTGAAACCGGGTGTAAACAGTGGACCAGCTTCAAAGAAACCGCATGCATCGCTGCAATCTTCACAGTCCGATTCAATAAAAGATTCGAATGGTTCACAAAAGAGACTCACACCTCTGGACCCAACAAACGCCAGCAATCAATTATCCAGGTAAATCTAATTCTCCACAAATCCATCGCATTGAAATTCAGTTTAGTATGGTTTAACGTGGCCATATTTTTTTTCCATTTTCAGTTCGAACAGTACACTATTCAATTCTTCGTCATCTACAAGCACTAAGTCACTCATTTCGAAATCCAGTTCGTCGGGTTCACTAAACTCAACATCTGCATCGCTATCGAAACTTTCATCCGCCTCACTCAATTCATCATCGTCAATGCTAAAAGGTTCGACATCTTCAATGGATAGCTACAAAAAGGATAAAAACCGTTTTACCAATAAAAGCGGCACAGGTTCGTAGCGCCACATTTCTTATCCATTCCATTTGCTTTCGTTGTCGCTCAACTTAAAGATTGCAACGCTTGTTTTTCTTTCTCTAGGTAATGGCAACGACCGAGCACCCACCACAAATCGTGATGTAATGAAAATGCTGGGCATACAAAATCCATCGCAGTCGCTGGATGTGTTTGGTAAAACTTGGGATACAAAGTATCAAATACCAAAATTGTCAGCGCGTTCCAGTGCTAATGATAAAGATACATCAACAACCAATACGTCAACGGTGACAGCCTCACCGCTCACTACCCAAGAAACCAATTCCAATAAGTCAATGGTAAATTTTATGTCAAACGTGCATTCATTCGGTAGCAATCAAATGCTCTCGAATAAAATCCATGGTGGACGCGCATCTTCTGTTTCGCCCAAATACAATTTGAATACGGAGAGCATTTCGAACTTCAACAAAGACATTCACATATACAAATCGACTTCATCGGATGCGCTTCAACATCAATCACAGTCGAGTGGCCACCATTTGCAATTGCCTAGGTATGTGTGCATTTATTTTGTGCATGGCCAACTGTAATCATAACACATTTTGATTGATTTACAATTTTTGTTGCAGTAGTGGGAACAACGCGTTCAGTTCGTTGCTAACAAACAAATCTATGAATTCAGCATCGAAGAATCTATTGTCGGGCACATCACAGCTGAGCGGATCGAATAAAAGTAGTATATCCAATGCTGGTGCCAATGTAGGAACCTCTTCATCACCTTTGCCCAAGGACTTAATGAGCTTTCATGATCAATTTAAGAAAAGTCGTCCACCACCGCCAGCCAAACCAAGCGATAGCTTTCCCAGCAATGCTGCCAACTCGCTGATGAATCCCAATCAAATGCGCAATATACAATCGTCTGCAATTCCACCGAATCCACAAACTGTACAAGCGGCACCAATGCGACAACGGCCAAACAGCGGCAATTCACCACAACAGGTGCTATTAAGTTCTGACGATGAAATTATGGACGATTCATTAGTTGGCAAATGACGTATAATTTTTTACTTTTACGCAGACATTTTCTAAAGAACTTTCCTCCGAAAACAACGGTTCAGTGTTCTGGGCTTGATCATTCACACACAAACACACATACACACACACACACCCACAATATATATCGCCACGATTCTGTATTGTATGCAATTTCAACGACTCGCCGATTCCATAAGACATAATCGATTCGATTTATTTGGCTGCTCAGAATTGACCAAGTTGCAAAGATGTCTGTTCAATCGACGAAAAAAGAAAACGTGGATCTTCTCATCACAACATGTTTGGCAGTGAACATGATGTTCACAGTTTGGTGTTAGGGTAAGGGCAGCCTTACAAATATGCGTCGTTGTCTTATGTATCTCTGAGAGAAATTTAACGAATGAAAACCAGAAGAAAATCACTAAAACATAATACGAACGTATGGGATGCAAGTACATATAAGAATTTGTTTGGTGATAAATTTAATGCGTTGAATTTTTATATCTTAATGGCTACTAATGAAAAAAGTCAGATTTACTGCCGGCACCGATGTGTCGGTAGCATCTAAACACTCTAAGATTTCAACTGAGATGTCAAAGACATTTTCAGGAGAGAGAACAGAGAGAGGGACGATGACAGAGAGAGAATAATAAGTAACTAAATGTAGCGAAAATTTTAAAATTCATTGAACACAGAAAAGGGAATGTACCATGTAAAGACCACATAGAGATATATTTTAAAAGTCTACTCTAACGAAATGGAATATGTTGACTGTATGATTTAATTTAGTGATTATATTCTTAAATGGAACAAAAATATAAAAAGAGAGGGAAAAAATGATCAGAAAGGGGTATGGAAGGAAATGAAAAGAGAGTCTGTATTTGAACTGTGATTGCGATTGAATAATGTATAATGAGAATGTTGAACATTTGCAATGGCATGCAATTTGCATTGTAAATAAAACAAATTTTGGCTGAAACTTGAGATATGTAATATGTTTGCCATTTACGTGTCATATGAAATGGCAATTAGTGAAATGCAACTGCTCTTAACAGCACTGGCACTAAAGATGCACAATTACGTCCCGTGAATCTCATTTCCGAAAGATTCATAATCTGTTCAATTCATTTGTTCACTGCAGCTGAACAAACCGAGGGAAAAAAGAGATACAGAGAGACAGGTATACAGCGGGATAGACGAAGTGAAACATAGTTGAAGAGCGGAAGCTCATGAGCTTGCTGTCATTTAGCCGAGGAAGAATCACTGTTGAACCGTCAATTTTTAACAATACAATCGCAGACAAACATTAGTAAATTGAAAGCATTTGACTCGATTGTATTGAGAATTGGGTCATAGATGCGGAATATCGCCTCGACGTATGTGCAAAATACAAAATGCACCAATAGCTAGCTACTGAATTTCATTCGTTTTTTTTTGTTTGCTAAACAATTCACATCACCAACTGAATATTAATTCATTTAAATTTATACAGAATTTAGTTAAGCAATTAGTTAACTTTTTTTTAAATTAAGTTGGTTTGAAGACTCAAACAGAACTTTTAATTTATGAACTAATCGACAACGGATAAGCAAGATGAAGAAATTATAAGATATATTATATTTAATAAAATGAAAAAAAAAACAGATTTAAAATAAATTTAAGTGAAAAACATAATGAAAATGGATCTGGTCTTTTATTTTACATTTAAATTGTTTCCAGTCTTTGGGTCGGTAGTATCAATTGCCATCAATCAATCGCGGGAAGTCAAAGTTGTATGCGGCTTTTGTATGTTTATCGGTTTGCAAAATCGGTATTCGTTGTAGTTTTGATGCAATTTTGTGAATATCCATGCTTTTTCGATTCATGACTATTGGCTATTGGTTATAAGTTCTCGATTACAATTCCAGTCAGAGAGTGTATCTTCACTGCTGAGTAGGCTTCAAGCACATGAGTCAGCAAATTCAGGCTGGTCAGCAGAAACTACACACTCTGATTTCAGCACTTTGATTCCAGACCTTTTCTATTCACAAAGTGTTGTTGAAGCGAATCCCAATCGAATTCGGGATAATTCTATATCGGACATGATTTGGCTCGGCTGTACCTCAAAATTGCTAGTATTGAATTTTCTTTGATTTTGTATACATTCAAAATAATTTAAAATTTCTAAAAATAAAACGTTGAAAGAGTTTGAAATCGAATACAAACCTAGTTAAAAAATGTCAAGACAAAAACTCTTACTGAAGAAAAGTGTGATTTAATTTATGAATATATTTTCGTTGATGGTTTTGCTTCGAAATCAAGATATTCTTTTGACAGGACTGCATTCGTTACCGCATCGATCCCCAATATTTCTTCCAAACGATGTTTGTAACGCTTTATCTATGCATTTGTCTTCTTACATAAAAATTACGAAAAATCCGGCGTTGTTTTTATATAATTCCTTTATTATACTCATACATAGGATACTATTATAACTAATCATGCGGAAAGTCGAATCAAACATTTTCTTTCGAACCGTTTCTTCGAAGAAAAAAAGGGAAATTTTTCTGACTGCTGTGTGAATGGGAATTTTATATGAGAAAAATGTTATATAAAAACAGTTTTGAGAGTAAAAAATCAACTTTTTTGCGAAAAGTCAAAGTTGAGCATGCGGATTCAAATGATGCAATTGCAACCGATTTTATCGAAAATCAGCATGATCATTGCCTATCGAAGGGTATAATGTTTGTTTGTTTGTTTTTTTCTTTTGTGAAAAAGGTACAAATCTAAGCTTCCCTTCATGTCACTCTGCTGCTGGATATTATGCAATTTGGTTTGTTTTTTTTTACATTTAATCTATCATCCTACGTGTAAATGGTTTTATTTTTATTTACAAATACGATATATTACTAAATGATGAAAAGAAAGCTGATTTTAATCAAACTAAAGATGTTCATCAATAATAAATTATGAAGAATACATAAAACTAAAAACGGGTCAGTCCATTCCGAGATGCCAGCTTCGATTGTCGATTAACATTAGATTTTCTTTGAACTCCAAATAATCTAAGCAAATTATTACTATTTCCATATACTTATATATATGTGTGTGTGTATTTGTTTTTTACAATTCAAAAAAGGGTTTTATTTCTTTTGCCTATTTTGTCAAAAATTCTACGAAACATATTCGATTTCTCTTTAAAAGATGACTACAGAGCATATCCCTGAATTCTTCGATTTGTAATTCACTATTCGTCGGCATTTTCATTATTTTTCTTGGAAAACTCAATGATTTCAACCAGACAACGTCCGAATTCCTCGAGAATTTTACGCTCTGACGTTTTAGCATCGCAATTGTTTTTAAGGCAATCGTCGGCTTGTGCAATTATACATTGTACCGTGGCCTCAATCACATCAGGTGTTATGAAATTGCATGGCTTCTTCGCCGGAACAACTGGTTCCGTTTTAATTTTCTCGTCCCGCTGCTCATATGTCCGTTTTATCGATTGATTGACTTCGTAATGCGAATTGTCACGGTCGTTATTATCCATGTGATCGTCGATGTTGCGGCAACCTGCGCAGAAAAACCAAATTCATATATTGTTATCAAATCGTTCCGCGTGAAAATTCCGTTTTTTCAAAATGTTTTCCATCATTTTGGAACCGAGCAACACTTACCAATGCATTTACAATTGGCGGAACACACAATTTTCGCTTCATAACATTCACAATAATTTTTCAAACATCCGGACCTCTTGCAATTGCAGCCTTTGGTGTGACGACGAAGCGTATCACTTTGGTCGCGAGCCTTCCCAATCTTCGGTCTAGGAAAATTAAACGAAACGCACTTTATTGTTTAGCAGAATTCTGAAGGAATTTCATTTCTTTCGACTGGTTAGAGACTTACTTGAAAGCATGCGGATTTCGTTCCAAGCATATTTTTATGGCTTTTTGGCGTTCATCCTCTTTCTCTAGTGTGTTAAAGCACTCTTTACAATTACAGTTTGAACAGAATTCACCGTTTGCAAAACAATCGCAGTATAATTTTAAGCATTGGGATTTCGTGCAGTTGCAATGTTTCCGTCGTATACCTAATGAACATGGATTTAGAAATCGATTTAATTTGTCTTTATTTTGTAACGATTCTAACGGCAAAAGAAGTTTTGCTTCAAGTGTGAAATGAAAATAAAGGTTTTTACCTTCAATGGGTTCCGGTGAAGGTAATTTTAGCGTTGAATACATCAAATTCGATTGATTTGGTTCGGGTGATTTGGATTTGCGATCAGTGCTTAGACTGTATGTGCGAGTTGTGAATTTTCTGACTGCGTTCGATGGCGATGACGGTTCCTCTTTTGTTTCAGTAATTTCGAATGAGTCGCTCTGATTCGAAGTGACCGGTTTTATGTCAATGGTCGAGGTTACAATATTTTTTTGCACGTTATTTAGCAGAAAAGTGGTTGGCGTTTTAACGGGCTGTCCCGTACTAGGTTCCTTTTTGATTATCTTTGTCGTTGAACCAATTGGCATCACTTCGAGTTTCTTTGTAACGAATTGTTGCGGTTTTCCACCCGCCGCCGAAATTTGAGCGCCACCCTGTTGCGACACTATTTTTCGCTGCACAATCACCTGCTGCTGACGACCATTGACAATTTTACTTGTTGTTGTGGCTGTTGTGCTGTTTGCATTTCCCGACGGGATTGCATTTAATACTCGCACATATTGCAATCCTTTCCCTTGAAGAACCCTCACTTGTTGACCAGTACCAGCCACCTTCACAATATTTGGCGCACCCGGCGATTTCGTTTTTGACTCATTACCATCACCTCCACTGTCCGACTGTATCAATATTTTCTGCGGTGATTGTATCGGTTTGACGCCTTTGTTTAAAATTGTTGGCTGGTTTTTCAAAGCGATGTTCGTGCCGCCCGACGATGATGGAGATGAGGATGAGGCGGGTAGAACGAGAGTCTTAGTGGTAGTCGAACTGCTCGTACTGGCTGTGGAGGCGTTTGTCTTATTCGATGGCACAATGAGACCCATTTGACTCATTTGCTGCACGGTTATTGTTCGCGTATTTGATCCACTAGCGCCGGCTGGATTGATCTTAGCAGCTGTAGCTCCGGATGAAATGATAAACTTTGGTGCCGCATTTCCGCTCTTCAGCAAAAAACGTGGACTCGTTGTGGAAGTGGCTGCGGTTGCCGGCACGGCCGATGATGAAACGACATTTTTATTTTTCAATTGCAGCAACTGCACTTTTTGTATTGTCGAACTCGTGGCATTGGCATTGCTGTTCGAATTATTTGCACTAACCACTTGATTTCCGCCGATCAACGAACCACCGATTCGAATCGATTGCTGTGTCCCGTTCGGATTTTTTATGTAAACAATTTTCGCTCCTGGAATCGTTAGTTTTGGTTCAATTTTTTGCAAATTGGATGTGCTCACTGCCGATGTTGAGGCTACAGTTGTAGCTGTCACTTTACTGCCGGAGCTATTGCTATTATTTGATGTAAGTTGATTTAATTGTTTGAGCGCTTGTTGTGATGTTGTTGTTGTTGTTGTCGTCGTCGTCGTCGTCGCCGTCGATTGATCATCATCTTTGATTGTTTCGTTGGCATTATCCTGTAGTACATCACCTGTGCCACCGCCGCCGCCTCTTTCGAACTCAATATCGTCTGAACTCATAGTTGATTATTGCTTTTTTTTACTCGATTTTTCCTTCTGTTTATGTTTCAGTACAAAACCAATTCATTTGTTTGTTCGCACTTCAATATCAGTTATTTTCATCTAATCAACGCCTCATCAGCCGCAGCTTAACTATAACTAAATAAAAAAATGAAAATTTCAGGTGATAAAACCAACAAATTGACAATGCAATTCAAATGTTTTTGTTTCGAATTTAAATAAACTGAATGTGTGTTTTTGAACATCGCCGAAATAAACAGAAAAATGGAGGGATAGAACAAGAGCGAAGTGAAGTGAGAAATGTCATACACACACTACTTTTCAAATAACTGACTGAGAGCGATAGCAACAATAAATTTTACGAACGCCACCGAAAATCATATTTTTTCCACCATGGAAACAGTCGCAATCGAATGAATCGTGTAATTTGAACCGAACTATTACATTTAATTAGAAACAATCGTAAAGTTTTCCGTCTGTTTTTTAACATATAATTCGAATCGAAATGCTCACAACACTAAATTACAGAGAAAAGTGTTGCCAACTTGAAAATGTCAAAAGCCAATTCATTGCTGGTGACGCAAAAAAAAATTATTTCCAATACAATTTTTTTTCCAATCAACCAATCGTAGTTCATATGAAATTGTAAATTTGAAGTCAAACCCCCTTCGATTGGCCAAAAAAGGTCGACAAATCGAAACAAACATTGAAATTATGCGAAAAATATGCGGTACCGATGCAAATTTAGCCAACAGAAGAATTCACATCAACTTTACTGCTAACCTAATAGCTGCTTACCAGCCATTCGTCGACACATCAAATTCAAATATTCAAAATTTTGAAATGGCCAATGCCATGAATTTACACACAATTTTGACGAATCGTTCGATCAATACTTTCATGCACACAACTTTCGTTGAAAAATAATTTTTCACAAAACCTTAACACGTTTTCCCCAAATTTTGATTAATAACCATGAATTTGAATTGAATTTTGATGTTTCAGCCATGATTCAAATGGACTATGGTGTTATGGATAGCTTGTTTCATATTGTACATCACGCTGGTTTGTCGTTGCTGAACATATTTTATTTACAGTGCGAAACTGACAATAAAACAAAAATTTACTACAATTTTTTTTATCTGTTTATATATTTACCGCGTTGTAAGACCCACACCGTGTCTTCTATTCGATTAGCGATAAACGCACAAAAACGATAAACTGAATTGGTGTAGTGCTGAAAAAGAAAACAGAAAAAAATACCAAACAAATTCAATATAGAATAATCTCAACACTTAGATATTTTGAACCCATTGGAAAATACACTTAATTCACGCGCCCACCACTACAACCATACGCCATCCTCTGCGAATATGTATGTATTTGTGACGATATTCAGCATAAATTTCAGTCGCTTGCGTACATTTGCCGTTCAATTCTCTCCGCACCGATACTATTCGCTGTTCCACTATTCAGCACGTCAAATGTATTTTAAAACACAAACACACGCTCAACACATTCAGCCAGCGAACTGTTGCAAAGTATGGTATCATCACTTCAATGGCTCTATTTTCAATTAATAGAACTTTGACTTTTTATTCAATTTTTTTCCTCATTATCACTTACATTCCTGAGAGAATTTATTTTAAAAAAATGCACCAGCAATTTTGTTCCCATCGAATTAAATGTTTTAGTTTAAGTTACTAAATTGATTCAATTGGAGTCAATTCAAAGCGACAATATGAAATTCAGTCATGAAATGACGCGGCGAAATGCTGTATTCGCCGTTTTTCATGACCAACGCAAGAAAATCAAATTCCCACCAACAGCGAATCGAGTCGCAGTATCTCTCTCAATTATAACGATAACACATATGCGACGAATATTTTAAAATGCAATGTAAGCACTGCATTCGCATTGCATATGACTTCAATATGAATATGTGAAAGCATTTCGATTCTCTGTCTCCTTCTTCTTTTTCATTTTCATCTTCTTCTTCTTCTTCTAAAACAGCTTTAGAAAATGTTGGAATAGATTTTTACAATATTTTCGATTAAGATGACTGCAAACGATATTATTTTAGACTGCCAATGGAATTCGAAGGTAAAAATGTATTAATAAGGAAATATGTCCAACAGGTTAAAATATTAACGAACTTTCAATCAAACGAAAATAGCAAAAAGATCCAGGAGAATCTCCGGCTATAGAATGTACGTAGAGAAAAAAAAATGAATCGAGTCACGTATACCGTTCAAGAGCTACCTCAAAAAAATAAGTTGGTTATTTCGCTAAAAATCGATAGACAAGGAAATTCTCAAGAAGTCCTGGGATTTTTTATGGTTAGTAAAAATGAGTTGAATCTTCAATCTTTTCATGTGTCTTCGGGCGGCTTGTTAAAAAATTCACATTTTTTGGAAAAATTCTAGAATTCAAAATAAACTACTAAGTTGATCTGTTCCCTTGATTAATTGATCACTCATGATTGCAACGAATAAACAGGAGCGGTTATGACTCCCGTTACATTCTTTCGTCTATCATCTGTTGAGCTACAAGCACAAAATAACAGTCAAGTAGTTCAGATTTTGCGGTGCAACACGTTTTTATAAATGAAATATGATCGTAAATCAATGAAATGGTAGAATGTATGATGAGTCTGCGTCGTTCAAATACGAAAATATACATTTTTGCGCAAGCGCTTTCGAAATTCGAGTTGTGAGCGCTGTGTGTAAATGAACAAACTTTTTTTAGTATTTTTTTAGCAGACAGGAGTTGCACGCTTCGCATAATTGAGGCCGTGTAAATTTATCATCCAGATTTTTACAAATTTAGTGTATAAATGATGGAAAATTGCATGGTTTGTAATGAAAAAGCTCCGTTTAAATGCACGGCTTGTAAACTAGTGAATTATTGTGGTACTGATCATCAGAAGAAGGATTGGCCAAAGCATAAAATCAATTGTCGGCCATTTAAGATCGAACGATCAGATGAGCTAGGCCGGTATTTGGTAGCTACTCGGAATATACCGGCAAAAAGTGTCATATTCATCGAACCACCTTTAGTTATTGGGCCTAAATGGTGTATTAATGACGATGATAAGGGCTCACCGCATTTCCCATGTGTGGGCTGCTTCAAACCAACATTGATCAATGGAAATCACTGCCAAAAGTAAGGGAATTGCAATTTTGAACGAATATATAGCAGCTCAATTTATATTCATTCACAGTTGTTTTTGGCCTGCATGTGATCCTAATTGCGCTGGACTTACCGACCCTCAAATGCATGGAGTCGAATGTTTCGTTTTGTGCACACGTCGTGGACCAAATCGAACCTGCAGCTTAGAGACGCTTGCGAATTTTTACCGAAGTGATGTGCTGCTTACGCTCAGATGCATGCTGTTGCAATGGAAATATCCAGATCGATGGGAAAAGGTAATGAAACTCGAAAGTCATGATCAGCAACGTATTGAAACTCGCTATTACAAGTAAGTATTGAGATGAAATCACGGAAATAAAATCTTCAGTTTTTTTTAAAGAATAAAATCACGTGAATTATCCATTTACGATTTCTAGAGAAGCGGATGAACGAATTGTCTCATATCTAGTAGACAATTTCTGGGCCGAATTGGACAAAGTTGAAACGGGATTGGGCAAGAGGATTTTCGAAAGACGCGACAAAAAAATGTTACATCGAATTTGTGGCATTATGGAGGTGAATGCGTTGAACATCGATTTGGGAAGCGATAGTAATGCAGAGGTCAGCGCTCTGTTTGAAAATGCTTGCATTTTGGAGCACGATTGTCTACCGAACTGCTACTATACATTCGACCGAAATAAACAGTTTAAAATAACTATGCGAGCTGGCCGACTGATCAAGAAAGGCGAACACCTGAAAATCATGTATGTACATTTGCATATGCTGTTACCCGAGTTTCATTAAAATGAATTTGTTTGCAGGTACACTCACATGCTCTGGAGTACACATATGCGAAACGAACATCTTCTGACCAATAAATACTTTGTCTGCAAATGTGAGCGCTGTCTTGATCGAACCGAGCTTGGTACGTATACTTGTTCAAATGCCATGAACAATTTTCTTGTATCTATTTTCGCTTGTGAAGTTTCAAAATCATCCGAAATTTCCTTTCGATTATTGCAGGTACACATTTCAGTGCGATGAAATGTATCGGTGACATCGGCAAATCGTGCGGTGGAACGTTGTTGCCAAAGAATCCGATTGACATGACCTCTGAGTGGTTTTGTGATCGATGCGATGTGTTAATTTCAAATGAACAAATTGATATCATTTTAACAAACATCGAACAAGAAGTGGACGATCTAATGATGCCATCCGTATCGCGTCGCGATCCCGCATCAATTGGCCCAAAAGATTTTGAAGCACTCATCGAAAAATTGTCCCATTTATTACACAAAAACCATTTTCATTTGTTTGCATTGAAACACTCACTTATCCAGATGTACGGCCACAAGCCAAATTTCCTGCTCCACGAACTATCTGATGAAAAACTTCAGAAGAAAATAGCAATGTGTGAGCAATTACTTGACATTCTCGATCATATCGATCCAAATACAATGCGACTGACATTATATACGGGCATCGTTCTGTATGAGCTGCATCTGGCGATTTTGGAACAGGATCGACGACAAGTTGAAAAAGGTGGCAAATGCAATAAAGCCATTGTCCAAGCGGCCTATGCATACTTGTGTCGCGGGAAGGAAGCACTTTCACTCAATCGGGACATTATTCAAGGGCGCAAACTCATCGAATCATTTGAACGAGCCGAAAAAGATGTTCAAAATTTACTTACAGCTTGAAACAGTTCTGTGTGTTCTAAGGGGAAAACTATAAAAGAAAAAAAATTAATGATACTACACAGCAGCATTGATTTCACCTTTAATAACGTATACATTTTAGTTTAATGTTGTACAGTTTGTTGTTGTTCGTTAAATACATATTACAATCTTGAGATTGTACAAATGAAATTTTGCTTAAATTAGTTGCGACATTGGAGGAATGTTTTGTAATTTCTCGATGAGTATTGAAATTGTTGAGGACAAAACAATTTGATTGAATGAACGTGTTCGTAATCAACCAAACGACTGGATAGTAGACAGTGACAACACACTTGATTTATCAACAGCAACAGCGCCAAGAATTCAAGAATTATTCTATTATATGCAAATTGAATCGATTTTCGACAGCTTTTCGCTCAGTTAAGACATTTTGAGTTTGAAAAATTTCTCGATTGTTACATAAAAAAGTGGCCCATCGAATTGAATCATGTCCTGAAAACCAAAATATAATTAGTTAATTTACTTTAAAATTGCTTGAAGAAAAAGAAAATTTTCTGGTAAAATTTACCTTTCGACGATTGAGGCCACAAATTTCCAGGCAACGATTGACCATTACAAACATTTTGCTGTACAAATGTGCGATCTGAACGTATTCAATATTGATTGTGTCTGGATATGGGATGCTGGGTGGTAGTACGCCTTCATCTCTAGCACGTACCTCGAGCTCTGAACTCAGAATGGCATCAGCTTCCAAATGGCTAATCACACCATTCTGAAGGGATTGTGAAACTGCATTACTGAACTGTGTATGCTAATTGGTTAGTGGCTTACCTGTGTCAAATATTGAAGCGTGAGTACAACGGCTGTTTTTGCTTGTGGCAGGCTTTGCAAATTTTCACGAAATTCATCTTCAAGTTCAAAGATCCAAGCTAACAACGACCATCGTAAGTTGTCGTATTTTGTTTCGCGGTTCTTGTAAATAACCTCAAAGATGTTCGGCATCGGTACTAGGAATAAAGTCAATAGATCAACTTTGAATGCAAAGATGTGAAAATAGTAGGAAAAATTTACGTACCATTCGGATAAATAATGGGAACTTTAACTACACGATACGGCTCATTATGCGCTAATTTGATGCAAATCTTTCGATCCATGGGTTTGACCAATTTCGTTTTGAATAATATACCCATCATTTTCTGAATGAGTGGCACTTGCAGATCGGGTAGCGTTGCTGCTCTGCCATTACGATAGTCAAGATACAAAATGTCTTTCATGAGGTACACGTCATCAACGATTAGTTGATATATGAACATGTTTCGTTCTTTGCTGAACTTGCTAAAGGCATCATCGTTGGGCATGGCAACTGAAAATCTGATATTGAAACAGTTCAAACCATTTTCTATTGCATTAAGACTGCTCTGCATGTCATTTGATGTGACAAATATGTCATTCACAATTTGTTTTAGGTTAAATCCCGATGCGGTTGTATTCTTCTTTATGTAAGCGGCCATTTTGTGGATTCGGTTTGGTGTTCTTTTTGGCAGGAATTGATCCAGAATTTCGGATGGAATGTATGGTGAGCCCAATAGCACCGATAAAAGTTGCAGCTGCTTTGTGTTGTTCAGGCCCATTGAATTCTCTAGTGCAGTTCGACAGAAGCAACAGATTTTCAACATTCGGAAATCAATGCTGTTTGCATACCAAAATTGATAAGAGCCCTCGAATAGCAGCAATTCCAGATTGTTTGAAATGATCGCCAAAACCCTCTTCGAATTAGCACTGGCATATTTAACCATTTCTTGCGTGTGTCGATAGTAATTGATGTGCAGTGAATCCCTGGGGCATAATTTCTTGATCAATGCAATCAAGTTGTGCTCCATTGTCACAGGAATGATTAAATTCCTCTCGCCGGTCGAACGCTTTTTTGTGTCAGTTGCGTCCGCAGTCCATTTGTCGATTAGAAGAATGTATTTGTAGTAATCTCGCTCCATTTTTGGTATGAAGAGATACAGTTCATCGGTTGTTTGATGTGCAGCGGCGAAAAACGTTAATTTTACGTTGTTGACAAGCAGTTCTTTGACAAAACGTTCAAAAAGAATGTTGTAAATTTGGTATCGACCGCCAAGCAAAATACCAACATCGTCCCGTTGTGCAAATACATTTCGAAATTCTTCCAAATCAATCAAAATTTCCGGCTCTTTGTCCCCATTCAATCTGAAGAGTTTATCAAGTTTTGTTTAGTTCTTATTTCGCGTACTACAACACGTGTTGATGCATTACATGATTCACTGTAACTTTACCTTTTCCAAATTTTGATTTGATCTTTTATGCATACTCTCTGCGTTATATTCCGAGTTGAATCGATGATAAATGTATGCAAGTCTTCCATTTTTGATATCGTAGCCGGTGATTAATTATGACCAAATTTAGCTTGAAGCACGATCACATTGTGTGTGCGTTTTGACACATTGACGTTCCAATAAATACAAAATCACTGCAACAGACGCTTTAACTAATACAACCACTTACTCTCGACGAGAGCCGCTAGTTGCTAACCGAAGATTTGCATTATGACAATTTTGTGTGTGTGTTTGTCAACACAAAGTGCTAACTTTAGCTGAATACTAGAATTACATTGTTTATTTACGAAACATGGAATCAAGGCGGAGGGAGATATGAAACTAAGTCGAAAACATTACTCTTAACTGTCAGAAGTTATTTCAACGGACTAAATAGTATTTTCCACTCAGTACTGCAAACATTCTTTTTCTCCCGAGTTCTTCTTCTTCCTTCTCTTCTTCTATGGACGGAATTTGGCTGAAAATACTCTGGATGCGCAAAACAATGTGATGTGTGAAATATCCGAAAAAACCCCTTTTCTATTCATTGGTCATGGAAAAATAAATCAGTTCTAATATGATATATCCAATCGGATAGAATTGTCTCAATAAAATGAATAACGTCATCAATTTCAATTGTATTTTATCAATTAATTTATTTATTCAATAGTAATTAAGAATCGTCATATTCAAATTTAACAACTGTTACAATTAGCATCGCCTACTACACAATTTTATTCGATTTATTATATGCCATATTTATTTCTAGCGTGTGAAAATAATCAGTTTCGATAAGTAAATATGGTTTTAATAGAAAAAAAAAGAAAAACAAAAGAAACAATACGCGGTTGTGGGAGTTTAACGGATTCGACATTCTTATTTGTTTGTAAATTTTCGTGTATTTGACGATCAAAGAAAAAATGGTGCTGTCATTTAGCCGTAAAAATGCTCAACGGTCTGAATGTTAAATGCTAATTCGTATTCGGTTTGCTGGCAATAATATTTCAATTTTATTTTATTCTCTAAAAAAATGTTCAGGAAATTCAAAATTTATTCTATGAGACACATGAGACACATGACAAAATCGCATGAATGTAAACAGTCGATTTTTTTCCCTAAAAATTTCGGTTCAATATATTTCGATTATTATGCAAGAATCCCAAATCGGTACTTTGACACATGACTGAAGAAGATGTTCGGGATTCGATGTTGAACGATGGAGATTTTGTTTTTAGAAGATTCCTTATTTTATCAAATGGAATGGTGTGGAATGAAATTTAAAACCGAAATTTCAACACGTATTGAACTGTAAATTTTTGTCCAGAAAAATGTATGGTGAACACGTTTTTATTGCGTTAAATATCTAGAGATACAAAAAGATGATGACATCTGCTTGGCAGCGCGAGATAATTGCAACCAGTATAATACAATGTATTACCAATATGTCTGTTAATGCTTTAGAAAAATGCTAATGTTTACATACGAAAATGTTTCATCAAAAATGTTCAGAAAGGCTCCAACAATTATTTTTCTTCCATATTTTCTTACCAGAGGTTATTTAAGCACGGTTTTTTTTCTCTCGAGGTGCCATTTATCGATTGGACTTTTTTGAATGCATTCTAAATCATTGCTTCAAGGCAACACACATGATGAAAAATAAAAATGTTCTACAAAAAAAAGTTTTAACATCAAAACTGTTGATCAAATTCGCATGGCTTTTTCCCTCTAGTCATTGCACCAATATAAAATAGCATCAATAATCTTAATTACTTGTGCAAGAGTAACAAAACAAAAATGGAATATGCGATCAATATGACAGTGAAGGCATATTGTTTCGTTCGTTTGAATTTATTTGTGGAATTTTTAAACAAAAAAGTGGAATAAATTAAAGTATTATTTTTCTTCTTTATTTCTTTTCAATTAAATTTAAAAAAAAATTGGAAATAATTAATTTTGTGTTAATTTCTTTTTTTAAACATACCGACACGAAATAAATGCATAATAAAAATTATTTGATTGTTGTTTGTTTCATCCGAACTGTTTGCTTTCATCTGTGTGCTGTTTTTGTATTGTCTTTCTTGAAGAGAGAGATGCAGAGGGAAAGTGGGAAATAATATTCCGTACGTGTCGTTTTTCCTTCAGATTTTTCTACAATTGTATAATTTTTAATATTTGTATAATTTGCGTGCAATCAAAAGTGAGAAAAAGGCTCCACATCGCAAATCAAATTTGTTTTTTTTTTGCATAAATTTCTGTCTTTTTTCCATTTGTTTTATTTGCGATCATTGCCGTTTTTCTTCCTCTTTGCAATTTCTTTCTATTCAATTCGATTGTGAGACATTATTTTGCTGTTCTTGTTGTTTATTTTTCTCGCAGGATTTCTTCTATTGCAAATATTCTATTGTTTTCGGTTTGCGATCAGCTCTTTTGTTTCTGTTTTTGTTTTCGTTTTCTTTTCTCTTCAAAATTGCTCAAAATTATTCATTCTTTTTTTATTGTGATTTCAGCTCTTTTCCAATGCTATATGACACAATTTTGCTCCAGTCGATTTTCGTTCGAGTGACCGGTAATTGTCTTCGTAATGCCTTAAATGTGGTATCTGACATGGTTTGATAGTTTTCCGATATTGCCGATTGATATTCGTTTTCCGCTTCTTCGATTAAACGAATAATTTCCTTTGCCGTGGCCGCCTCATTCGTTACTATAATTGATTCACGGCATTCCTTTGCAGACACTAACTGAACGTTACCATCTTCATAGTAGTGGATCTGATGTGGAAAAGAAGAAAAATGATGAGTTTTCGCCCCATAAATACCACACAGAACAAATGAACTCGCATATGTTTGCAGAAAATTGTGGTCACATACCTGTGCTTTAAGAACACCTTTCAGTTCGCATGCACTTCCACTGCCCGGTGTAAATGTGACATGCCATTGTGATCGCCATCGGCCATTCCAAAAGTTTTTCGGCTGAAATTGATGGTCTTCAATGCAGACATTTAAAGTGATTTGACCACTTTGCGAACGACCAAACACCGATGACACACCATGCCGGTAGTGATTGGCTGTATAGGCTAACGTTTCAATATCTAACGCTGATCGCCATGGTTCAGCCAATGAATCCGGCTCATAGGACTGATAGTCACTGGCTTCCTTTCGCAAATGATCATATTTGAATGATTGCTTCGTTCGTGGGTCGTAGAAACGGCTACCACCTACATATACAAGCACACACACATATACATACATACACATGCCATCGATTGCGAGGCGAGTAAAGAAGAGAAATAAAATTGAATTAATTTCTCGTGCACATATTTTGAAATAAAATAAACAAATGATAAAATTTGACTCTTTGTGTTCGATTAACACACTTCAAACAACATATAACCCTCTTTCATGCTATTTCACATTGAACACATTCGAATTCGGTCGAAACGAAACTGTGTTTGTAGTGAATGATGGTGATGATGAGTAATCGGGCGTGTATTTGTCATCATCGTTTCACGGTTTGCGATAGTGAGTCAAAGTTTGTTATTTCAACGATGAAACGATGACACAAGATGACTTTCTCCATATATTGCATATTTAAATAGTATCAACGCTGGTGTATCCAAAACTTACCCAAATCGTTGAATTCTGTAATAATCGTTTGATGATCGGAGCCTTCTATTCGAACCGGTGTCAATTGGTCTTTGTTGTATTGTGCAAATGCATGGCTTGCACCTTCCTTGAGCAGACCGTCATTTTTCAGTAGCTCGCGCACATCGTTGAACACTTCGTTAAATTCACCAGGCGGTGCATGCAATATAAAATCGGACACGATGCGAACTTTCTCTGGATCACTAATCTCCTCCATTGCGTTTCCACACTCCGAAAAATTATGAATTCAAAATCAAAATTTAAAGCCTCGCACCGTACGAATAACGTCTGCTGTAACCTCGCCTACTTCTGTTCCGTCGAATGGGTGCGAATAGATCGAAAAGACGGTATTTGGCCCGGGACACCGATGACGATGACGATGAATGTTGCGGAGCACCCGAAATGATAAAATGTGTAACAAAAATTAAAAGTAAAACCAATAAAAACAATAAACAGAACGGAAAAAGGAAAATGAAAATAAAGATCTCGTTTGTGAGTTCAATTTTTTTGCTTTAACTGCGGAATCGCACCGGAAAACAAATTGACAAACAAACAAACAAACAAACAAAATTAAGGAAAACACCAGCTCTCCGATGAAGGGGACGAAAAAAATTTGGGATGTTCTATTCGATCTGGCGTTTCCTTTGGAAGTTGAATTGAACGAATTATGCGAGATTGTTCGATGGTATTCGTCTTAAAATGATTTTGGACAAGAATACTTCAAATGTGACACTTTTGATTTTGATTCCCTTTAATTTTCATTCGTAACATCATTATGCCGAAATTATCTGAAAATGGCAAGTTTTTCGTTTGTTTGTAATTCTTCTTTCACATACAGCAAAATGACCACATACACTCTTTTGTCCTACTGAACTTATTTAAGCTTATTTTTTCTCTATTTATATTTATATTTGCATACGTATAACTTTATTTGTTGAGTTTTCAAACAACTATGAGAAAGAAAAAATATGTCTTTAAAAATGTCGTTTCTTTTGTTAGTAAATTTCCGCTTTTCGCGTTCTTTCTCATATGATATCATCTGTATTGAAAATCTGCAACTAAAGGCGACATCGATTCACTTTACTTATTGGCCGAAATTTTTTTTTTTTACACAATACAATGTGAATACACACAGAGTGCCGATGGAAATTTCTTTTTGGATACAAACCGTATATTAAAATTATAAAAAAACTCCAACTTCTTAGCTTGTTCGTTCTGCTGGACTTACATTAAAAAATCATATTCGTCAAAATAACCGAGTTGTAGTTGTCTCTTTTGCACTCATCGCACACACATATCGATGCCATTAAATACGTGGTGAGATTTTCTGTTTTGTATACCAGTGTTTGCCATACATAGATATATGTTTATATATCAATGGAACGCGTACTAGATTCAGTGTGTTTGTGTGTCGGACTTGGATTCTGACACAACCGAATACACAACACATTATTACGTGTATTGTGCGCCGCTAGATGGTAGGCGTAGTCTCTCTCTTCAACTCTTGCAACAATTAACTGTGTGTATCAATGTAAAAGGAGGCAACTGCATCGGCACAAAAGATTATCGCACTTAGAAAACGGTGCCGAGTGTTTCCTTTGCTGAAGATATGACAAACATTTGGCTAACAATGTGCTCTTCTCTAACAACTGAATAGCTAGCTACTGGTTCAATGCTATTTTCTTTGTTTCCAACTTTTAGTTTAATAATTGTATAAACACAACTATAATTTCAATTTTTTTTCTCAATACGCACCTTATTAGAAAAAAAGAATGAACACTCAAAACAATTTAAAATGAAAACCGAACCAAAGAACAAAACAGACGAGGCCCAGATCTGAAATGTTATGCCCAAAACCAATTGAATGCACTCACTTGGACGCAGTTTTTGTTCTAGGCGCTCAATATTGCTTCAGTCAGCAAGAAACACACGAACTCATTTCAACAAGATATTGTCAAGACACAGAGGAACAACAAACATACAGAAAGAAAAGAATTACCCGCACACAAACAAATCGACACTCAACAGCAGCAGCAGCAGCAACAACAACAACAACGTCACGGGCTATGAATCATAAGCAACCAAGAGTAATTGCTTGCGTATGTGGTGGTCCGAGTTGCTGTCAGTATGTCAATCACCTTCTTCTTTGCCAAATTTCAAACTAGATTTTTCTGTTGAAACTTGGCCATTCTAATCCGAATAAATTTTACTTCATTGACATGAAAGTGGTGTTGGGACGGCACTTCTCCAGCATCATAACATGAAATTCATTTTTCTTTCTATTTTAACCAGAGATTTAGTTATGAGAACTGGTCGATTTTAATTTTTTTCAAACACAAATTGTGGAAAGGGAGATTATTCTCCAAACTCGATGGAAAATCTACTACTTCGTTGCGGCTTTTTGAGTGAAATACTTTTTCGCATCGGATTCAAAATCGGACAACACCAACGAAAGTTCTGTGTTCAAATAAAATTCCCAACGAAAAAATAAAGTGTAGAATGAACAATAGCTGTTGTCGTTGCTAATGCTCTTCTTGCTGTGGTTGTTGCTGTTGCTGTTTGTTATGTCGTTCGTATGAATGGTTGCGGGTTAGTTGGTTGGTTGCTTGGTTGGCTGGTTTGCGTGTGTATTGTATCTCTATCTATACGAGTGTGTATAACACTATAACACACCGCGTACAACGCAATCGTTATCCATGTTTGAGAATAAGCCTGTACGGCATAGCGGCAAATACCAAACCAAGAGTAAATAGCGACAATTGAAACCAGTTCATATTTGTAGCTTGAATGGTGAAGAGCGTGATTCACCGCATATCGCTGCTCCGATACCTTTGCCTGTTTTGTGTATAAACACGTTCGCGCGACTACGACGACGACAACGACAAACAAACCGACAACACGGCAACATTGAATCCTACAAGTAGTCATGGTAAAAGCAAATTGTTTTATTTAGGTGAAAAGAATATAGAAGAAAAAAATTTCTCTTTAAATCCAGTTAAACCGAAAAAAGACATGTTTTCCGGTTTTGTTGTTTATTTTTCTGTGATCTATGCGACTTGTGATCTTAAAAGGGTTATTTTCATTCGGAAATGAATAAAATAAATAATACGAAAGAGTTTAATTATTTTTTTTGCATTGCAACACACGAAAGTTGAGAAGAGAAAGAGAGCGAGTGAGCGAGCGAACGAGCACGAGCGAGAAAACATTCAAAAAGTTGAAATGTGAATTTCATTTCGAAATGGAAATGTACCGCATAAAATCCATTTCAGATCAAACGAAGAAAAAAAATTATTTCGAAAAATTTACAAACCTTTTGGAAATGATATTTTTTTTTCATCAACAAACATAATGTATGAATCAGTTGAGAGCGTCTAACGATCGAATACACGGCGAACAGCGAATGAAAGAAGTGGCAACAAGTGTTTGTGTATAAGTGAACGAGTCGCTCTTTAAGTTCATTGTTCGTGCAATTGAATTCTTTGTTGCTACACGACGTTCATTTTCTTCTTCTTCTCCGGATTTGTTTTTTCAATTTGTTTCTTTTTTCGTTATATCTCCTTCTATCTCCTTCTCTCTCAACATCAATTGCCGTGCTGCGCTTAATCTGTGTTTCTCTATCTCTTTGGATTTTCTTTGATCACGCTTCGCTGTTCCATGTAAAGATCAAAATGTCGTATCGAAATGTCATTTCTAAATCAAAGCGGCGGAATGAAAATCGAAAATGCATTCAAATCATATAAATGTTGATTGACGATCAAAAATGACGCATTTGTCGTGCCATATCATTTATTTATAAATGCAATGGAATAATATTTATTTTTCGATTTCAATCGATGGGATCTTTTGATAAACGGCGACACAATGAAATATTCAACTCATTGTTATTTTTTCTCTTCTTCTTTTCATTTTAGGAGACAATCGAAGCGTTTCATTTATGTTTTGAGGAATGAACAACAACAAAAAAGTGAACAGTTATCAAGAATCAAACAGTGTGATTAGCTGCGAGTATTGAAAGTGATCATGTATGGATGTGAGTCATAACTGAAGTGATTGCAATAACGTAAATTCAGTTCAATCACATCATTGTATCGTCCTTAGTGGGCTTGTCCGCGTGAATACTACTACCCAATGTGTTGTGAGTTAATGAACAAAGTTTGAAGAGAGAAAAAAAACGATGAGTGAGTGCGTGATAGAGTGTTAAGCCCAAAAGACATCAAATCACACACACACACACACACACACAATGATGCTAAAATCGTGAAAGAACAATCACATTCAACATAGAATCAATCAGAGAGAGAAAATTCAACGATCTCATACTCGTTTACATGCAGACAAACTATATGTAGCGACGACAAGGTTTTTTTTCATTTATTTTCGGGTCGATTCTCGTTATAACACAACCGCGCACCGCTGAAAGAACAGAGAAACGAAACACTCACGCATTGGAATACTTACGGATATTAAATAAACAAAAGACACCAAATAATACAAACGAAACGAAACGAGCGAACAACAGAGAGAACGAACGAAAGAAAAATATATAAAATTTACCGTAGAAAAGCGAAACAAAAAGAACGCCAAAACAAGTTGAAAACTGCCTATAGAGTTTTGTGCTGGTGTGTCGCATCATCGTTGCGATGATGGCAAATGTATGTGTGCAACAATAAAACGTGCAGTGTTCCAACTGAGTGACTTGACTTCAGGAGCGCACAAAATTGTCGGTGTATAACAACCGATCGCCATAAAACGTGTATTCTCTCTGTTCGTATATGTATATTGTGTGAGTGTTTTATTTTTTGTTTGTTTCGTGCTTCAACTTCGTTGATATTTGCTGTTGTACGTGTGCTTTTGTAGTTGTTTTGAACCGTCTTTCGTTTCGGCTGTCGTTCGGAACAATCGCCGGTAACAGATAAACACCGTGTGTGTATTTTTTTATGTTTCTCATTCGTACAGAGAAGAAAAAAACACACGGCAATTCTGAGTCACAAAGTGTAAATGTGTTGGTATAAAGCGTTCGTATGTGGAATTTACCAATGGACATGACAATGTGTGCTTGATTTAATGCACCGACATAAAGGTGTGCCTGTGTAAAAGAGCTGCATTAGGTAACACAAAACTAACGAAATGTTCAACGAACAAAGTGATCTACGGCCAAGAATCATCGAATGAAGAGAGAATAACGAACATACAAGGGAAAGAGAGAGAGAAAAAAAACTTTTTTTTTACCTCAATTCAAAACGACACACGGGCAACGGACAACTGAAAATTTGAAAAGCCGAAACGAAACGAACGAACGGCATACAAGAAAACCGACCAAACCAACGTTTCTGACTGTGAAACCGAAGCGATTGTGTATTGCCTTCGTCTATGTGAATGAATGTTCCATATTTATCTGGTAATTATTTATTTTTTTACTAATCGCATACGGTTCGGCTTCTTTTTTTCATTCGAAATAATCGATGAATAATAAGAAATGTGTGTACAAAGCTGCCGCTTGTGGACGTAGAGAGTGAAATGGATTTCGACTTTTTTAACTGAACGAAAGAGAGGAAAAAAGAAAACAGTTCCGAGCAAAAGCATCGAAATCAGTGAGTTTGAATGGTGTAACGAAAAGTTCCGTTGATTAATTATTTTCGAGTACTTTAGAGATCAGTGACAAACAACAAAAGAATTTTAACCAGAAAAATAGTGGCCACTGGTGAATATTATGTGTAATTTTGACGAATTTCGATTGTTGATGCAACAATACGATGGCATCTTCAATTGCCGAGTATATTGCGCGCGCGCCCATAATCATTGCGAATTTAAATAAGACCTAAAACTGATTTGGAATTTGGAAAAGTTGCGCGAGATAACGAAATACAAACAGTGATTCACATAAAAAAAATTACCGAAAGCAAAACGTACTACAAGTGTTTCCATTCCAAGAATTCTAACGCTCTCTACTATCTAGCAAAGCAAAAAACTTAGTGTAACAGTGAATAATTGTGATTGTAACACCTCAGAGCTGGCGAAATTTTAATATTTAATCATAAGTGTAAAAAAAAGTATAAATCATTTTTGTACATAATTTGACATATATGATTTAGAAATTTCATTGCCCCCGTTCGAAGTGCGGATATTGTGCGCCAAAAAGTGACAAAATAGTTCGAAACACGAGCGAAAACATCACAGTCGCAAATTGAAAAGAAACAAAACACACGAAATCATAGTATTAAAAACCAAAAAAAAAACTGTCCAAAATAAATCAAACGTAGCCATGGTAACGCGGCAGTGTTGGCGCTATCAGTTTAGCGTCAAAATGTGTTTCACATTGATTTTATTATTAATGGTACAAATCATTCATGCATCGACTGATGATGGTCAAAATGCCAATTTACAATCGATGCCACAATTTAGCAGTAATTTGGATTCTTCCGTATCGTCACGGCGTGATATTGCATCGATATCGGTGACCGAAGTGAATCGTAGCCGAAATTTGCGTCAAGCCTACGACGATAATCCATACAAATATACGGAAATTTTGCCGGCCCATTCGAATCATCATTTCCACAATGAATTCGACAATAATGTCGAACGAAATAGTTCAGATAATCGAAAACCAGCCTTCTATGCATGCAAAGATTATGCACCAAAAGTCAAAGAAGAGCAGCCATGGAATACGTTTGTGATAAAAGTTGATGCCGAAGATCCCGACGAATACGATACCATTACCTATAGCTTTGAAAAATCGGTCAACGAACGCGCCAAATTTCGCATCAACGAAAAAACTGGCGAAATCACCACGTCATACACATTCGACCGAGATGAACCAATACGTGAAAAGGAGGTAAGTCTTGCCCAAATGCTTTACAACCAACACAAAAAAACAACATCGGCACAGCACCGGAAATTGCATACTTTTTATATATAGAAGAGAAGAAAATAAAAAAAAACTCAAAACGCATTTTGCTTACTTGGCATAAAAGGTGTGCAAAAATACGAAAGAATGTCCGGTCGTTACTTTTTTTTTCTTTTCAAGTTGATTTTCAAGTTCAGAATCCGACAGAGTCGTAGACAATGTTCGCGGTGGAATTTTTTTTCAAATGTGATAAAAATGCCTGAAAACCAAGTTATAGCCAGTAATATTGTTAGACGGTTTCTCGCTTTTTAAAATCGTTCGAATTTTTGTGACGCTATCAGAAATATATGTTCATCAGCATTTTTTTTTGTTAGTCATCATCACTTAGGTATTTGTTTAAATATTTTTTTTTCATCTACACATTTTTAGTGCCTAATCAAATTTCAACCATATGGGCTGCCATGATGAGATTCACCTTGTTTCTCCTTGTACAACCTTTATTCTACACTCCATTTAGTTAAGAAGCGAAATATTTCAAAATGATAGAGCTCTCCGTCCAAAGAGAAATAAAAACATTTCTCTCGAGAGTTCATTATTTAACCATTAGAGTCTAACCTTTTCAATATCAATGCCGAAGGAAAAGCATACGGGATTCAGCTTCTTCTATTTTTTTTCCACTTACATTTTGTGATCAATACATACACACCTAAAAAAGATGAAAAATCGAATGAAGAAAAAAAAAACATGCAGACGTCCAGTCAAATATTCTATATATATAGAACTTATATTGATCTTCTCGGGAATATATGTGGAAAGACATTGTTCACGTAACATATAAATTCATTTCGTCATCGATCGTCTGCTTTCTATTTTAAAAGCATTCAATATCACAACGTGGTATGGATGTGTGTTTGTATGCGAACCAGAATCAGTCCGAAAATTTACTTAAAGAAGCGAAAAGAAAACGAACACGACACAAAAAATAGGTAACACATCCACCATCTTTCTTAATTTTTATCAGAAAGAGAGAAAGAAACTCGTTCAAGTATATGTGTAAAGTTGATTATGTCTCGTGTGTATCGAGAGTGAGCGTATGTATATGTGAGGAGGTTCGTGTCGTCGAAGCAGTCTTCTGCTTTAGTCATTCGAAATGATTTCGGTGTCGTGCGATCGTGTGTCTGTGTGTGTGAGTGAGTTTTTTTTATTACCTGTTGTGGCAACCATTCCAGGTGAGCAAATGTCGACTAGAACCATAGAAGGCCGAAGACCGATATTAAAGCAAATAATGAGAAACAAGAGAAAAATGTTAAACGACAGTCGTCGACAACAACACACCGATATGCACGCAAACGAAAACGCAATACGTAGAGAAGAAGAAAAGAAGAAGAAAAAAATTCATGGGTTTCGCTCCGATGCACTGTTGCCGCATCGGATTTCATTCTTTATCCAAACCTTTTCGAATCCCATTCTCTTTCTCCCTTTCTCTGTCTCTCTTTTCATAATTTCTTCACATGTATTACTACCAAACTATATGCAGCATGCTGCACATAGTACTGCTGCCGAGTACTCGCAGCTTCAGCCAATTTTGATCGAACGCGAAGTGAGGTTTATTCTAAAATTATTATAGTTCGTTAAGTCTTGAGTACACTACTGTTCCTTTCCATCACAATGTGCAGTCAGTACAGGAGTTTGCAAGCAAACAAGCATGCAAGTAAGCCAACAAAAAAGAAAATAAGCCACGTAAAATTGTTGCTCCAAATTTGGAAAGAAATACACGGCATGCGTCGTGCACAACACGTATAGTGATGTGTGCGGAAGAAATCAATGCAGTTTCGTCTTATTAGTGGCTCTAGTCTTGTCATGCTGTATAATATTTATTGTGATGTACTTCTTGGTTTTTACTCTCGAAACGATTAAATCAGAACGATGAGCATTGACGACGGAATGATGGGAAGAAAAAATGTATAATGCTCACGTCGATCTACACATACATCAATACACAACAGATACCGCACACAAATGCAAACACCTTCGAGATGCTGCAAGCAAACAGCAGCAGCAGCAGAAGCACAAAACCGATCTCAGCCATGTCTTGTAAATGTGAAGCGTTGTTTTGAACGCGCATATAACAAAGCCAGGTACACACACACCATGTCGGTATGTGTGTTTTGCTTGAATTTGAAAATTGTATATGCTGTACAGCGGCAGCAACAACACCTTTCGAGGTGGAATATCCATTTTATCCCTAACAAAATATGCTATACACAACCAACCAGAAAATCTCTCGAAAACGAATGAGGCAATGGAAGGAAAACACGAAATTGGATAATTTCGAAATTCTAGTTTTATGCGGGGTAACTAAAAGGAAGCATCAAACAAACTCGAGAAATGAACGGAAAAAGAAAAAAAAACTCCAGAAGAAAACGCTACGAAATGATTTTGTTGCCTATGTAACAAAGCAAAATTAACAAAGAGAGGAAAAAAAATATTAAAACTTTTGTGATTTCTCTATATCTTTTGCACGGTTTTCATTCAATTCGTATAGTGTGGCACGGTATCTTGCAACTATGAAACGGTACGGGAAGGAAGAAAGAAAAAAAATATGCAAGAACCAAAAATAAAATCCAAATTCCAAATTAGCTACAAAATGGATTTAAAAAATAATAATGAATCTGCACGAATCCGCATTTTTTTCGATGAACTTGAGTTAAATGAATCGCAGCAAGAGACTATCTTTTAAAGGTAGAGTAAGAAGAATGAGTGCTCGATGCTAATGTGACACAAAGAAATGTGCATGGATTGTGTTTTTTTTTTCGTTCATTCGTTCGTACGTTCGTTCGTACGTTCATTTCTTTCAATTTCTGCAAAAATTGTTGTTGGACTTAAAATGCAAGACAAATGCCCAAAAACGAACGAGTGCAAAGATCGAATCGGGAGCAGATGTATTTTCCATTTGCTTCCTTTGTTCATCTTATCCCTGTGCACACACAAGGTAGTGGCCCTACCATGAAAAACGGTATGAGAGACACATACACACACACACACAACACACTTTTCGCTTCCGAGACACAGGTATTCGAGATGCAGCAGTTCATTCCATCACTAAACAGATTACATTCGAAAGAAAAAAAATCTTTTTGTATTTACCCAAAAAAATATTATACGTCCAGTTGGTATTCACTTTATACGGTAAAATACTGAGAATATGGTGAATGATCACAATTTTTTTTGGTCATCCATGCTTGAGATCGAAAAATAAATATCATGTTGGTTTTCGTTGCAATACTGACGAATTTACAAAGAGATTCGTTTCTAATGTTGCCCGAATCCATTGTTCATTGACGAAGAAAATTAAAGTGAAAAATATTTCACACAAAATCATTGCATTTTGACGTACTACAATTGTTAAATAGAAGAATTGGAAATTCCTACGATATGTAAAATTCAATACATCTTAAACGAAAGAAACGCAGAGCTGAAAATACGATTCCGTTTGCTGTTAATTTGGCTTTGTATGTATGTGTTTAGACGAATCAACAAATAAATTGATCCGTTTCCGTTTAGATTTTCGCCAAACAGTCAAACGACACATCACAACAAATTACGCTCAAATAACATGACATTTTGTTCCGCCGGCACATTTCTACTAAAGACATCACTCACATGATCTTGTTGTGCCATTTATTTGATTCCGATGCTCTATTAAGTAAACACTGTGTGCGAGTGCACGCGCCCTCGCGCATCTTGCAGTGTGTCAATAGACAAAATGCAGCAATGAAATACAATTGCTTGTTACAAAAATGGAGTTTTTTTTATTGTAGAACACTTGCGACAGCACCCAGTTAAAATAAAGTCTAAAACCATATCTTGTGCACACACTTCTTGCACATTCAATCGCCTCGAACCGAAAAGACAGAGCATAGTTGAACCCGTGAGCATAAAAACGACTTATTAAACAATCGCCGAACAAA